GCTCCTACTCCTACCTCCGATGCACCCCTTGTCTCTGGACCACCTCCATTTGGAATGGATATACTTTGCAATAGCTTGTAGTTGCTTCGGACCCGCTTCCGCTCCTGTCTTAAAGTCCCTCACCATTCAATAGTGTCTTCTCTGGAATCTGTTTCGGATCCGGAAAAGCACTGGTGATACCTCCGGAGTTTTTAGCACTACAGTCCTGCGTTGCATTGTATCTTCCGTTCCATTCTGTTCACTCTTGTGACTCACGTCCAGTTTCCTCCGAAAATCCAAAGCTCCTGCCGGAACCCTGTGCCCATTTTTCCTCCATTGATGTTTGGAAACATCTCCCAAAAAGGGGGATAGGGACTCCACTTGAGTATTCACTTCACCCTCATCAGCCTGTGTTCCACCCGGAATTTACTTGCTCCGTCCCATAAAGGAACAATTTCCACTGTCTTGCGCAATCATCCATGCATGTGCAGCTTTCCTATCCGACCCATAACCTATCCGGACCATTCAGTTGTATTTCCGGCCGGATCAGCTCCGGAAAACCGCGGGAAAAGCGCACATTACATTGCATATCATTGGAATACATCCGGAACTATTCATCCATGATCTTTCTAGGCCATTGATAGTCATCCGATGCATTTGACTTCACTGCCTAGTGTTCCATCGTGTTTGACTGCACTTCCACCTCACTTCCTCTATGTTCCGATCCACTTCCTATGGGTTTCCACGCCATAGCCCCTATCATCCGGAACTCCGGAATTCCGAACCACTTGCAAACACCTCTGTCCTATCGCATACATCTCGTCCGATGATCCATTCTCTTCCTCCGCTTTTCCGACTCAATATCCATTCTGACTCCCATCGGATATTTCACGATAGACCCTGGCATTGCCAAACACTTACGTCCGGACCTCCTATCATGTTTTCTGACGCACTTCCGGCTCGAGTGATAGCACACATCGCAGATCGAAATCCATTCAACCTCAGACCTCCGTACAAAGGAAATCATGCCTCATAGCACTCCTTTCTCACTTCCTGCACTCCGGAAGTTCATCAGTCATCATGCGATTACATCTCCGATCATTTTCCGGTCATAGGGGCTAATTTCCGGATTTCCGATGATGCACTTATCCTTAGCTGTACCTCAGTACAAGCTCTGCTTCATGGAGAAAGATATGTCTCACAGGACTCCTCCGTCACATCAGAAAGAGGCCTGCATCGCATCCACTCTTACCCTCTTGTCCTGCACTCGCTGCATTTCCACTGTCCTGATACAACCTCCTCCGCTCTGAAAGCTTCCTCCGATTTTCCCACGCATTTTCCGGACTTCCAGTCACCTTCGGAATTATCCTCAAAGTGTTCCAGACTTCCACTCCGGAAACCTATTTGTCCTCACATCACATCACCATTCTTCACCACCGTCTATGACGTCCAGTTTCCAGATGAAGTACTAGGCATCATAATGAACCATGTGTGTGTCAGGAACATTTCCGAAACCTCCGGAGATTTTCAGCTCATAGGAACCAATCCTCCGGAATCCATCCATCATTGTCCTCTGCCATATACCAGCAATCTCCGTTCCGGACTTCCTGAGTCTTCAGCCTCGAGGGCTCGGCCTTAAAGGGGGGATACTGTCATATCCCGCATTCCGGACCAACATCTGACGACGTTCCCACGCCTCATCCGGACCTCCGGACCTCCTGTCCATGTCTCCAGACCCAATCCTCTATCCGTCCAGATCCCTGTACTCCTGCATCTGATATCCGGATGCCAGATCTGATATCCACATCTCCGGATCTCCGGATCCGACCTATCTGTCATGTCCAAACCCAAACCTTAAATCAGCGCCCATCCCCTTATGGTAATCACCTGTCTCCGGACTTCCGAACATCCGGATCCGACCCACGTCTATCTTCCTTGCGTTCCGGACCCAGACCTATCACGCATTCATCTCCGGACATCCGGATCCGACCCGCGTCTATCTTCCGTGCCTTATCCCTTTGTATGTTCCTTCTTGAGTTAGACTTCCTCATTTTCCGTACCTCATTTCATCTCCGAGTTCATTTCCTATGATCCGTCTTATTTTCTAATACATTTCCACATGCTCGTACATAGCCTTACCCCTCTGCTTACTGATCTGCACAGACTTGCCTCTAGTATATAAACCCCAGTAGATACTCCTGTATTTCCTCAGTCTGAATATCATACACATATTAGTCCTCGCACTAGTCTTCACACTAAGTCCTCGTAAACAGTTCTATTCCTCCGACTTAGTAATCATCCATCTCAGGCCTAGGGAGGAATTCCCTAGGCCGGAGCTCCGCTCCTCCGCTCCTCCGCTCCTCCGCTCCTCCGCTCCTCCGCTCCTCCGCTCCTCCGCTCCTCCGATCCTCCACTCATCCACTCATCCACTCATCCACTCATCCGATCCTCCATTCCTCCGAGTTTCCGGAAGTTCCTCCGGAACTTTCCCGCGGTCCTCCGGACCTATTCTGCTTCGGACTTTGTCCTTGCAGCCTTTCCTCTGTTTCCTTCTACTCAGGACGAGTCCTGAGTAGCCATTATACATATCCCTGTCAGGACGAAACTCCATCGTAATTTCCGGAAGTTCCTCCGGAACTTTCCCGCACTCATCCGGAAGTTTCTCGCACTCGTCCGGAAAGTCCTTCCGAAGTTTCCCACGCTCCTCCGGAAGTCCTTCGGACTTCACTGGACTTTCTCCGGACTTCATTCTGAAGTTAAGGGCACATACTCGGGTAAGGGGCGCAGCGCACGAGCTGAAGCCAAGCCCCTTGGAATCAGTCCTACCCTTTGTGCATGGTCTTAACAGTCTTCGGCTACTGTTTTCCCAGCCCTTCGGGGTGAGAAAGGGTTGGATTGACTAACCGCTAACATATCCTCGAGGCTGGTGATGTACGCTCTGCCTCGAGGTGCTGCGGCACACGCATGCAATAACTTGCCATAAAGTTCTTGAACGTCCTGGAGGACGTGTGCATGACGCTTCCTCCACCTGTGTATGGCCGCTAAGTACTTGGCTACCTTAGCCTCGCTTAATGCTACTATCATTAGTTTGAGGTTCCAACAAAAACCTATGTAAATCGTGGACGTGTTGAAAAGTTGGTCTTTCAAGACCTCCCAGATTAGGCCTAGCTCGTCTGATAGGTCATTTATGTCCTGTAGGCAGAACGTAAATAGGGCATCGTGTTTCGAACGAGGTGATCGGTTCGAGAGGTCAATTAAGGGGAGCGCGCGACTTTCGTTTGATTCTTCTATTTTTCCACTGATAGGACAACGTTCACCGAACCAGAGTCTTCCTTCCGTTTGCCTTAAGCCAGAACTGGCGAATTTTTCATGCCATGTCTTTCTGTCCTCGTTATAACGTTCGAGAAATTCGCGACGTATCCTGAAAAAGATGTGGTCATCTACCCACTTGTCTAACGGTCCGATGCCTTCGTGTCGAAATATTTCGGCTCCGGCATCAGCTATGTGACCGTAGATTCCTGCCGAAGGCGTTGCGCCGAAGGCTGTACAAGTATCCACGCAAAAGGATGTCTCCGAAACTCTGACTATACCTGCCGGCCATTGGGATTCATGTAGCGGTACTGTTCGGTAAGCTTCAGCTATGTCCCGAGTCGCTACTTCTGACCCTGGAGGAAGATTGGCTATCAAGTCGTAGATTATTGAGAACTTTCCCCATGTTGTTGGAAAATCGTTAGCGTTTATGCTTGAATTCACTGAAGCGTTTGCGAATGTCGCGTTGATTTTGTGCGGGAATGAGAAGTTCTGAATGAGTCGGAACTTTCCAGGTTTGCCTGGTTTTGGAATAATGGACAACGGGGACGATTGGAAAGGTCCGATCAGTCGTTCTAAGGTGTCAGCATCGAAAGGGCCGATGTATCTTCCTTTGTCGATCTCTTTTTGGATAATGGCGCGAAATTCGATAGCAAACTCGCTAATCGAGTCTTTATTAGGGGGGGTTTGTACATTGGTGATAACGGGAAAGTCTATTTTGAAGCCGCTACGAAGGCCGTCTGCGATCTTCGCGAAACGTTTAGCTAACTCTGGGTGATTGAGCGCGCGATTCCAAGCTTCTGCCTTATACGGCGTTAGCGGATTCTGCTTTCTGCGCTCGAGCGCATCTTTGGGCTCCATGAGTGGCGGCCCCGCACCCTGAGCACACATGTTTGGCGTCGTGTCTGGCCACGGAACAGCCCTCTTCGCGCTGCCAGGCAGTGCAAAGCTGCTTTCCGTCTTTCGTCCACAGACCCTTGTGGATGCGTTCCGCAAAGGTCTCGTGTTGCTTATCCCACGTGTGGGAGGCCATGCACTCGATGGTCTTATGGGGGTTACGTCCGAGGCACACTGCGCAGCATGGGAGGGGACCAGATGCAGGAGGTGCACGAATGGTGCGTACCTTCTTGTTAAAGTTTGATACTTCTTCTGCTGGTGGGAGAGGGCGTTTTTGCCCGCTGGCGACTTGGCGCGTTGAAGTCATTTGTGGCGGCCGTAGAGAGTCTAGGTTGCTGGCGATGAACGCCGCCGCTGCTTGCTGTGATAGCAATTGATGCATCCACATGTGGTATGTGGTTTCGGTTGCGCGTGGTGTGCATCCCAGGGGTGTTCGGTTGTGATAACCCATGTTTGTGATGAACATTTGTCATTAAGACAGCCCCAATAGACAGCGTGATGTGTCATTGGGTGAGGTTGTGATAACCCGCGTTTGCAATTGGTGTTATTGGCACGCAATTGGCCAATAACGTTTTTAAAAGGGATGCGATAGCCCAAGGAAGAAGATAGTGTGGTTTTGAAGGCGTTCGAAATGGTGAGAAGACGGGCTTGTGGGAGGGATTATGACTGACCTGTACTGCCATCACTGTCTCCTTCTCGTGTTTCTCGTTGAACAATTCCTCCCTCGCCTCCAACAGCAAGTCTTGATTGATTTCTTCCAAGCTCCAGCCTTGCGCGGTTCCTATGGTGAGGTGCCAGCGGCGGCGTTGTTGGGATTGGTATAGTAACAATGCTCTTTGTTTGAGGGGGTCGGGTGTATGGCGCCAGCGATGAGACTGTAGCGCTGTCCAGAATTGAACATGCATGTCCACCCGGTCATCCGGCCAGTCGTGCATCTTCATGGAAAGGATCATGCGCGGTGCAGCTTCATTGAACTCTTCCCAGGTAAGATTCTCGTCTTTGACTACAGGTGCTGCTTTCGGGTCTTTGACCGCCGCTGCGGGGACCCAGGAATGGATTCCATCCGCAGCGGGTAACATTACCAGCGCTTCTGGTTCGGCGATGGATGTTGATACTCTGGCATCATCTAAGCCCTTGTTAGTGAAATAATGTAATTCACAGTAGTCGCCTGCTTTGAGTTTCCGAGTCGCATACTGCGCTGGAAGGATAGTGGGGTCCGAAGGAACTTTTCCGCGCTTGATGGGTGCGTACTTGTTTTTATTCTTCTTTCTCTCCTCTAGCCGTGCCGCTTCTTCCTCGTCTCTGCGGTCTTGTTGTCTTTGGAGCTCATCCTCCTCTGCTTGCTGACGGGCTTCGCGCAGGCGATCTTGTCTGTCTGCCCAACGCTGTTTCTCTGCGTTGTTGTTCACGTTCCATAAAGTTGCTGGTACTCAGCTAGAGCATAGTCCGGTCTGATGGCTTCGTTTGGATTAACGTTGGCCATGTCGTAAAAGGTGTAAGCAAAAATGTAGAACTAGATGCTTATACTGAAGCTGATGGATGAGTGCGAAGTGGGCAGAAGCAAGAGGTTCTGCGCCACTTCGCTTATTTGCGCGTAGACTTACTTCTACGTTAGCCTCGTGCCTCGGCTAACTTAGAACGCCACTATTGCATCGAAAATAGTATGATTCATGAGGCCATCAGTCAAAATTTGTAAAGATAATCACTGCGGAAACGAGAAAATAGTTCTACCCTATTCCGAGATAGATAATTTGTATAAATGTACCCAAACCCGCGTCGACTAGTAAACCCCACCCAAAATCGATGTGCTGCAAATTTTGAGAGATCCTGGGAAGCCCGCAAATGTGAGGGCGTCTCTGAAATTAATATCCATAGAAATACAAGAACTCCCATTTGGTTAGTTGCAAGAAAGAAAGTAAGAGGTGACAGAGAAACCGCCCCAATGCGTAGCAATACAGCATCACGCCGGCGCCAGTAGTCTACAACAGAGAGATGCAGAACAGGACAGACCAAAAGCAAGAAATACAATGACATGTTTGCGTAAAGAATCGTAACGTAAATCCCTTTGCTGATCGATGATCCATAGCAAGGTGAAGAAATTCTACCAAGACTGATTGGCATTTAATGGTGCAGGCCAGTCGGGCAAGTTCGACAGCGCAGCGTTGCAAGATTCGCGCACGCGTCGCTTGCTCACAGCATCTCCTGACTGTCTATATGAGGAGTGAACCTCTTTCAGCTGAAATGCAGAGGCCGCGACGGTATCTGTAGAAAGTGCATGATGAATATTGACAAAACTCGTAGTAGAGTATAGAGATTACCATGATACGAGTTAGCTTCTTTCACAATCTGGAAGAATGGGTAAGTCAAGTGCAAAGCATTCGGTGAGGAAGCAATTACCTGTTGCCATTTCTGAAGTTCGCTGCCATATGCCTGATAACCAGATGGTGGACCGAACAAACCCGGCGCACCGTTCCCGCCCAGTTGCTGCACTACCCTTTCCGCCTCTTGCTTGCGTGTAAGCCAGGCTGCGCTGAGCACATCACAAGCGTTAAACATCTGCTTCCACGTGTACGGATCCCAAGCCTCCAATTCAGCTTTATGTTGGCGAATATAATCCCGAGGGTGCATCGCACCACCAGGATTGTGGCTTGCAAGGCTAGTTGGCTGGGAGCTGGACCTGTTATGTGAAGGAGTGGGGTGGGGTGTGTATGGATCAAACTCAGAGAGGTAACTCGGGGTTTGTCGCTGAGGCTGGTAGCCACCTTGGTAGCCTCCGTATTGCTGTTGTTGCTGCTGCTGCTGCTGCTGCTGCTGAGCATACTGGTTCTGGTACCCGTTTGGATATTGTTGATAAGGCTGTTGGAAGTCTACTTGGGAGACTAGCTGTTGTCCAAAATGACCAGACGGCTGAAAAGGCAGGCCAGTCGATTGTGAGCCAAGTTGTCTGGTGAAACGTGAAAGTAAGCCTGCAGCTAATGTAGGCTATGTACGATTGACATACCCCGAACTATAAGACGTAGATGCATACTGATTCCGTTGGTATTGCTGTGGCTGGTTGTAGGGTGTCTGTCCTTGAAACTGCGGATATTGTTGTTGTGGTTGTTGTTGTTGTTGGAAATAGGGCTGTTGCTGATAACCGGTGTCGTAAGACTGGTAGCCCATCTGCGGCGGCGACTGTGGAAGGGTCGATGCAGAAATATCGGGGAAACGGGCATGTGCAGGGGCAGCCTGAGCATCACTCAAGAACGGGTTGTTGCTTTCAGCTTGGAATCCGTTATACATGTCCGTCGATCAAAATAAACACCAAGACTCCCAGACACGTTAAATGGTGTATATAGTGGTACGAGTAAGAGGATCGAGAGCAAGATAATATATATCGATGTTTCGATTGTTTATATCGTGGGTACTGCTGCGTGTGTGTGGTCACCGGCTGCGGCTGATGTGACTATACGGTATATATTGGTTTGCACGTTGTTGTATCTACTTTTCGGTTACTTTCTGCCGCTGTAGCAAATAATTACTATTACTATCTGGAAAATCACTAGTAATCTGTAGGTAAGCGTAAGTAGTGCTGAAACGTGTAGCACTTCGGATCACATTATAATGGAACGGTTTGAGGGACGAGTCCTCCTTGAATGGAATGATAACATTCCATGATCGATCCCATTTGGACATCAAAAGTGTACTATCGAGCGAACTCTCAGTGATGTACGATCTTCTGAATGCACACACCTGTATATCAGTGGCCATCCAACTTAATTTCTTGTTACTCCTTCTGTCTGTTTCCTCGATCGGAAGTAGGGCAATCATTGGAGGATACCAACCAACTGCATGAGAGTCGTCTGCTTGCAGTACTGCAGGGTATGACTCGAGCCACATGCTCTCGAACAATCTATAATTCCAACTGGACAGTACAAGGGCATTGTTCTTGTGACATGCCAGGAATGATAAATGGCATAGCGACCTAACACAGTGGCAGGTTCTTCAAAATGTGAGCCTCTATCCCGACTCGTCGACCTCCGTAGTGAAGACTAGGCAAGCCGAATCATCCCCACCGCTAACAACAACGGAACCTTGGAGTCCCAGAGACGCGCTGAGTATAGGGCCATGGTGCCCGGTGTGCTCCTTGACTAATGCGCCAGTGCGAGCATCCCACGTGCGGAGCGTGTTGTCTGCGGACGCTGACACTATCAAGTGACTTTTTGGTGCCGGGTGAGTTAACAGTGACGTTACTGCGTCCTTGTAGAACGTCAGCGCAGTAACCTTCCAATACAAACATTAGTTTACCTGATGCTCGAGAGTTGCGCGGAGTCTCATTGTGGTGAGGTCCCATACACACGCTTTCCCATCCGTCCCCCCAGTAACTACAACACCAGGGCTGCTTCCCGTTCCAGCGAGATCGACAAATTGCACAGCTTCAACGCTCTCCCCCTCAGCGTGTCCTCCAAGGGCACCGACGACCTCGCCCTTACTGAGACTTACTACACGTACACTCCCGGACGTTCCACCGACAACTGCGAGCGTAGAAGAAGCATTTATTGCAAGAGATGTAATGTTCTCAAGATCAAAACGGGCGTCTTGTGGTGAGAGTTTGAACAATGGAGTTGGTGATCGCGGATCCCAATACATGAGAGTTCCGTCCTCAGAGGCGGTTACTATACGCTTGCCTGTTGAACAAAAAGTTAATGATATTTTTTGGGCTCCAGTACTTCGGACTTACCGTCAGGCGTAAACTCTCCACATTGAACTGGACCACTGTGTCCGGCGAATACCTGCATGGTATTCCCCGATGGTACTGTTAACGTGAGTATGTCAGGGAGGGCTAGTATACCATTGACATACATTGCCACAGCCAAACCGTAGAATCATTGGAGCCTGCGAGTAAAATTGTTCCGCGAGGATGCCAGCGTAGCCACTGAATTTGAATTATCGAAATATAGTCCAAGGAGTTCACTGATACACTTACAATCACTTCATCCGGACCCTGAAGCTCAGTCAAGAACTCCCAATTTCTGAAGTCGGTTGTACCAACTCTTCTCCATATCCTCACCTTCCCATCCATTCCACCAGTGGCAACCATCTGGCCGTCGCTGCTGAAAGACGCGCTGCATACGCTATCCGTGTGCCCAGTAAGCTTTACGATAACTTCTCCGTCCGTTATATCCCATATGTATCCAAGATCATCTTCACCCCCGGAGACTGCAAGAGGTTCTGTAGGATGACATGATATAGCAAATACAGAGCCATTGTGAGTGGCAAAGTGCTGCAGCGAGTTGTCCTTTACATCAGAATCGCCGGATGGAAGATCGCCAACCCCTTCTTCTGCTTCATCATCTTCGTCCATAGGATGATCACCATCATCGGGAACCTCTGCAAGGACATCGCCCGAGTCGATGAACGCGTCCCCTTCTTCATCTGAACCGTACTCCACTGTTTCCTGGGCTGTATTCATCGATAGTATCAGAGTGATTTGGTCGGTGTTGTTTTGGAGAAGCCCTGTTATATGGTTGCAACTGCTGAGAAATCTCGCTGAGTCAAGCTATACCGAAAAGTGATAACGAGAAGATAATAGACTGTTATTCTAAGCCGCTGACTAATAATAAGGCACATCTATTGATGCTTACTTGGACTTAAGCTCCACGTCGTCTCTCAGTATTCTTCCATTAATTATCCAACCACCATCATGAAGCTGTCACTGTCGCTTCTTTTTGCGGGACTGTTGGCTAGCGTCAGTGCCTCCAATGTTGTCGAGCTCACCCCGGACAATTTTGACAGCGCAATTGGTAAGGGGAAGCCTGGTTTAGTTGAATTGTGAGCTCGCCGCGGTATTTGCTAAAAACTCTTCTCCTGAACTTTTACTTTCAGCTTTGCCCCTTGGTGGTACGTTGTGTTCTGCACTCTCATGTGAACCCTAGTTGACGAAGACCTCGCGGTAGTGGTCACTGCAAGGCATGTGTCCCTGTAATAACACGAGAGCAAAACACTTACGCTTACTCTAGAACCTCGCTCCTATATACGAGCAACTTGGAGATGCCTTTGCGCACGCAAAGAGCAAAGTTATCGTTGCCAAAGTCGATGCTGATGGCGCGGGTAAACCTTTGGGACAGAAATACGGTGTCACTGGATACCCTAGTGAGTTACAATATGAAACTTCTACGAATACTATACTCAATATTTGAATGCAGCTTTGAAGTGGTTTGACGAGCAAGGGAACATCGAGCCTTACGAAGGCGGCCGAGACCTTGACGCACTTGCTTCTTTGTGAGCTCACGACGTTTATATACCCTCCCCGTGTTAATGTATTCCTTCAGCATCACTGCGAAGTCTGGTGTGAAATCGAGTATCAAGCCCCCACCGCCCCCTGAAACCTTGATCCTTGATGTCAACAGCTTTGATGATGTTGCCTTGGATGAGACAAAAGACGTTCTTGTCACGTTTACCGCGCCATGGTGCGGGCATTGCAAGAACCTCAAGCCAATCTATGAACAAGGTAAGCGTCGGTTTCTATTTCTGTGATAATTTCCCTAATACCTGCACACAAGTTGCGATTGACTTCAAACCAGAGGGCAATGTGCGTAGTGCTCGGTGATCTATTTGATGTTTCAGCTAATCAGCATATGTTTGCAGTGTGTTGTTGCCAACTTTGACGCGGATGCACAACCGAACAAGGAGATTGCTGGTCGCTACGGAGTGTCATCTTACCCTACCATCAAGTTCTTCCCTCGTGGCGGAAATGAAGTTGAGGCTTATGAAGGCCCTCGCACTGAACAAGCATTCGTTGCTTTCCTCAACGAGCGCTGCGGAACTCATCGCGCCGTTGGTGGTGGTCTCAATGACGAGGTGGGTCACATGCAAACCGGTAATCAAACCCTCTCCTGACATAGTGCAGGCTGGCCGTATCGCGGAACTTGATGCCCTTGCCCAGAAGTTTTTGGGCGCTGCCGGTGACGCTCGTGATTATATTCACAAGGAGGCTTTGACGCTTTCCGAGTCACTCGGCGAGACGGCAAAATACTATATCCGTGTGATGGAGAAAGTTGTAAACGACCAGGAATCCTATATCGAGAAGGAGTCTAAGCGGTAAGCAATCAGGCATTGTAGGCATTTATAACTGATCATGGACCGATATATCTCATTATCAGCCTTGCGTCTATCCTGACGAAGCGCACGATGTCACCTGCCAAGCTGGATGAGATCAAAACGAAGGCCAACATTCTGAGCGCATTCATGGCCAAAAAGTTAGAAGAGGCACAGGAGAAGGTTGAGAGTGTCATCGGCAGAGCGACAGCTGAGCTTTGATGTCGCACGCTTATCTGCTTTGTGCACGGATCCACACACTTGTTAATCTGGATGTTATGTCGGTGCTATCTATCATCCGAGCTTCATGCTTGTCGATCGGCGTCTAGGTTTCGGTGATTTCCACCACCACGCAATCAATGATATTAAAGATAATTTTCACTTTTGGACCTATCGTAATTTGTAGACGCTGGCAAACAACTAAAACAGGACTCGGATTAATTTCTTGAGGGCACGTTGCACTTAACGTCGGAAAAAAAGAAGGCCTCGAGGAGCCTCGAGGACTGATATGCAACCGATCACAATGGAATGCGTGACTACTTATTTCTTCAATTCGAAACTGGATGGGCCCCACACCTTAACCTGAGTGGAACATCATCACGACATTTCTTGCACACTGTAGCGCATCGTCACCTTGACCAGACTCAATCAGCCATCCATCCGTCTCATAACTCCATCGACGATGTCTGATATCGATGAATCGTTCATACCTTCCCCGCCCTCCGATTTCTATGAAACGGAGCCAGATGAAGCTCCTCCCCTGCAAGTAAGAGTGCGCGTGCGGCATGAGGCAGATGCCCAAATACCGCTCCGCGCAGTGCGTTATTCATCTCGCAAAAAGCGTTGGGCTCAGACTTCCAACTGCGCCAGAGGCGTCAGGGAGCCCCTACCATCTACTGTCCGCCTCGTGACATGGAACCTCGACTTCGCAGCTCCCGATAGGATGAAACGGCTCCTTGCTGCCCTCTCCTACATCCAGCAACACGTTCTTGACTGCAGGACCACTAATGAACGGCCTGAACCATGCTGCATCCTATTGCAGGAAATACATGAGTCAGTTTTCGCACAGATCCTCAATGCCGAATGGGTGCGACGCTGTTTCATAGTTGTTCCCGCTAGCGTGGACAAGTGGCCAGACCAAGCAAAGTATGGAAATGTCACACTGGTCTCCCGCACAATTCCCGTAGTCAATGTCTTCACCATCGCATTCAGCAACTCTAAGATGAAACGCAATGCCATATTCGTTGATATTAAACTGAGCGCCCCAGCTCACGAAGACGAACCTCGCCTATCAGGGGGCATCATTACCCTGCGCGTTGCAAACACGCATCTTGAATCGATGCTAGAAGGAGCCGCGGCACGGCCCAGGCAATTGAAACTCATCGCAGCTGCATTGCGTGGGAGGGGAATATCCGGGGGCATTGTCGCAGGGGATATGAACGCTATCAGCCCTACTGATGAGACGATCGTGGATGCAGCCGGGCTGTATGACGCCTGGGAAGGTGATGATGAAGAGGAAGGCTTTACCTGGGGATACCAGACTCATGAACAATTACCGCCTGGAAGGTTAGACAAGGTGCTCACTACCAGTCAAGAGGGTTTCGTTGTGGACCAGCCAGAGAGGATAGGGATTGGTGAGGTGATTGGGAGGGGCAAATGGGTGAGCGACCACTATGGACTGGTAACACGCGTGCACATTGTGCGGGAAGATTGAAGAGATAACGAAAGAACCAGCTGGTGAGACTTGACGGGGTGCAATGTCATGACCAAAACACTGACGTGCTATACTTAAGGAACTGCGGAAGTAGCATCAATCGGGCCCGGCCCTATCTGATGTATTTTTACTCTATCAACGACATCCCGAATAACGATTCAACGAGCGTCCAGTGTTGAACGAAAATTCAAAACTGATTCTACTAGTAGCCATGAGTGACTTGCGACAGAAATTAGGTTGAAGCTATGCATGGGATGAACTTGGAGGAGCACTTACTTTGTACATAGCACTTTATCTGATGTTGGTTTGATCAAATTACCTGTAAGGTGGAGTTGGCGTGGCGTGTTTGGAAGCTAGTGATGATGTAAATAAGAAGTCGGGCAAATAAATAAAAAATCTACAACCTTTTTTCCACGCAGTTGTTCAACTTTCTTCCCCCGTTGTTGTCCCCATTCAACTCAACGACAAAGTTCACGATGAAGTTCTCTGCCACCTACCTCGCGCTCTTCGTAGCTAGTACTCTCGCTCAGTTTACCATTAATACTCCGTAAGCAATTTTACACGTGTACCTTGAGTCGTCGAGGTCTTATTACCTCCCCGGAACAGTGCCAACGTTGTTGAGTGCCAGCCCACCCTCCTGCAGTGGTCGGGCGGAACTGGTGAGTTCTTCGAGCTCGCTGTCTACCGCGTCTGACTGTGTTTTAGCTCCCTACTTCTTGGTCGGTGATGTCCTATTAACATGGTTGTCAGGCATTGACCCGCAGCGAATTTTATTTTGTTATCTTTTACACAGAGGTAATAACTTCGTTTCGTATATGCATGTCATTTTACTCAACGCTATTTCAGCATCCTACCCGGTGCGACTCCCAATGGAGCTGCTGTTGAAAATTTGGGACAGCAAAATAGCACCTCAGTGACCTGGGTCTGCAACGTCCAGTCCGGGACATCCCTTGGTCTCACCCTTCGCGACAGCACTGGCTTGACTGCGCAGTCAGCGCCGTTCACTGTGAACCCCGGATGTGCGTGTTTCAGTTGATCTTGTTGATCGGTTGCTTAGGGTTTAATTTTGGCGCAGCTTCAACTACGTGCACTAACACCACGTCGCGTACGTCTGTTGCATGTATGTACTATCACCCCACTGATGTTTCGTTTTCTAGTCTCCTCTGGTCCAACTGTCGCAACTAGTGCTGCCGCACCGACTGGTACCACTCCTGCTACCTCTGGCGCTGTCAGCGGCACTGGTACTACTGCTCATACGTAAATTGAACTTGTTGTCAAGTTACCACGTGATCTGACGTCACATCCGTTCTGTAGCACCTCTGCAACCACTGCTGCCGGTTCAGCTTCGACAAGCTCTTCCGCTGCCTCTGCCAATGTCATCCGCGTTGGCGCTGCCGGAATTGCTGGTGCTGCTGCTGTTGCTGCCTTGCTTTTCTAGATTTGCTCTGACATCAAAAGAGCGATACCAGTCGACGGACTTCCAGAGACATTTACGGGTTTTCTTTTGCTAATCATTTACCTGCGACATCTACAACGTACATTAGGCTGTCTGCTTTCAGGAGTATTGGAGTTTTACCCGACTGACGTTTACATTCCCTCGTGCGACAGCGGGCTTCCGTGCTCATTGTTCTCACAATTTCGATTGGATTGTGTCTTCCCCTTCAATCGTTCTTTTGTTACATAGACATTCCGGCTGACGCTTTACCTTCGGATACTTGGGAGCTGCTGTTGTGCAGTGCAATGATCCGAATGATTTATATTCTAGCGTGCATGTGAATAGTTAAAAATGTCGTTTTTGTTTACTGAGCTCAATTGTGAGGAATGTTGCGATACTGCGCGTCAAGCGCAAAATACTTCAAAGCTTCACAGCCTGTTCAGTTGAATTAAGACTGATGAAAGCAAATCAGAGTGCAGCATGTACGCTGTCCTTCAGCAAGCTAGTATTGCCGATGCCGAGGGCGTTCACATCGAGTTAGCAGGAGAAATTGACAATTTGCCTCGTATCCGGTTGATCGCAGTGCGGCCTTAAGCATATCACAGGTTCATTATCCTGCGCGGGGCACATTTCAGCCGCCCAGCTAAGAACCATCGGATAAATATTTCGAAGGTGCCCCGCGAACTCCTACGAATGATTACACCCATGAGTGGTTATAGTACGCACTGTAAGGGATGAATCGAAATGTGAACAAGGATAGCATGATACGTTATTTAGGCAGACACAATACGAACGACATCATGACACTTGATCGTCGGGAGAAGGTATAAATGACTCTCAATCGCGAGGCTGCCGAGGTCGAGATAGACCCACAAGGGAAAGTATACGTGTAATGCCAGCTCAGAGAATATGATGCCTCATGTTGCCCAGGCATGATCAGTCTAGTGCAGGGAGTGGTCGCCTGAGCTGTCGGTGGCGATTCATTAAGACACCTGCGCAGATAGTCAGCTTGCGCTGCGCGGAAGTGGCGTCGGTCTTGTAATGTTCTTTGTCCAGCCAAGTGTACACAAACCTCGCATCGCATCTGCGACGTGCATACACTTTTACTGATTCTGTGTGATGCTCAGACGTCAGATTATAAGGGCCAGGTAGAAACACACGCTGCAAATTCCACAATATTGTTGAGCTTGTTGGCATGCGACAATCGAAACACTGAGGTCGATGCTCTTAATATTATCGCCGAATTCAAACACGATACCACCGATCCGGAGGACCGAGGGAAGCCGAGGGGTTGACCTGAAGCAGCCTGAAGCATATGAAAAGCGGCTTGAAAGGATGACCACACAATCGAAGCGTACCTTATTTGCGAGATGGCCGCAACTTGGCTCCCGGCGGTTGAGCTGCCCAGGGTTGCTTCCAGCCGGAAGGAAACACCTTTGAACCGCTGCACAGCAGCCGTTGTATCTTGTGCCCTCCGAGCAGATTGCGAAATCGGTCGATGTGACTATTCTGAGACTGCGCGAGATGAGGCGTGCACGAACTTGGCACGAACTGGCGGGAACCAATAGTATACAACAGCAAGATGCGAAGAACGATTCCTGTTAACGAATGTTATGATGTTCAGTTCCCTTAATGACTCCGAGTCAGGTGGCTCGCGGTCCCAGCGCGCGCCAGGAATTCGAAGGCAGAGAGCACAACACGGTGAATACTATGAGGCAAGTATTATCACCGGGCTAGCGCCTACATCGGACGTTGCCGAGAGTGGTACTAAGCGTCCGAGTCGAACAATCTTTGGAGCCTGCAACAGCGAAATCAACAAATCGTCTGAAGCATGACAAGGCAGGCACAGAGGGAGAGAAACCGAAGGCTCCGGCCTGGAGGCCTGCAACAAATTAATATCGCCATGTAGCTAATTTCTAAATTCTAGTCAGGGACCAGTCTGAGGGTACCTACGGTACGGTTATAATGCAAATTTTCACAGCCGCTATTATGATCATCCATCTAACTTTTTCACAGCAGTTGAAAAACATATTGACCCGAATAATTCACATAGGTGAGTCCTAACCATTTGATAGATCATGCATATACTACTTATATGTATAATGGTTTTATAGTGAAAATTTGTGAAGTAGTATAGGAAATCCATCGTGAAGTACTCAATCGAAGATAGGCTCGCTATCCGGGCACTGGCTCGTAGGGCGAGAACATTTTAGCCTTTTGGGTTCATCGACCACCATCGCGACAGGAAAGGGGAGTTGGGACTCATCTCCATAACCATGACCATAGCCAACAGAAAATCAGTACGAATCTTGTTGCGGAACTTGGCTCCGGATATGGTTCCGCGGCACCGCTTCCGTGGACCTGACCTACAGTAGATATGTCTTATTGCACTGCAGACCAGTTTAACGAATCTAGGTCAAAACATTTGCGATCACAGTCTAACACCATCCACTTGACTGACGAGGCTGAACTTGGAGTTACAGAATGAGTACTGTAAAATTGTGAGTCCACGAAAAGAGTATGAATGAGCACAGCAGTACTGATGGGATAAACATTTACAGCAAGAACATGGGGCAGCAGGGTAATCCTATGCACTACTGCTAGCAACCGCGCCAAATACAGATTCGTCAGGCGTTAGGACCTATCGCGGGTTACTGCGGGTTGTCATGTCCTTACTTCTAAGGTTTGAATGTATAGGGTGCGTCAATAGTTGAGCCGCCGCCTACTCGCCGCCTTCGTTCTCACCACGTCTCCAATTTGGGAAGAAATGTACCGAACTGCGAAATTTCATCTCTGTATTACCCAAGTATGTCTGACGCGGTTAAAGTCAAGGCTTCGGATGCGACCCTTGCGTTCGATTGTTTGAAAGTGATGGCAAGCACATATTACAATATATCATGATACCATCACCTTCAACTTCTCGTTCCCTTCCCCCCAATTGTCTGTCAACTTAACATCTTCGTCTTGATGGCAGTCCTGGAATACACAATTGCAGACTTCATTAATCGAGAGTCGTGGTGGAGGAATCGTGGTACGAGCTTGGCTAAGCACACCGGAACAAATAATTTATTTGACAATGTCGACGCGCAGGTCTCCTGGTTTTAAACATCTATTTGATATTACCACTGCTGTCATCAGTACTGAATGGCCTTGATTCGTCCATACTAAACGGTCGGTCGTGAGCATTCACTATCATACGGCCGACTCAAGTTACCTTAGGTCTGCAGATTTTGCCCGGATGGCAAGAATACTTCCATCATCCGCAAGGAAAAACCTTAGGTATGTAGTCCTGGAATTGCTGTAATCCTCTATTCACGACTGTTAGGCCTCATAAATTCTGCCCAAGGCATTGGTGCCCTCAGCGTAAGCTGTAACAGCTCGTTGAAATTATTCTCGGCTCACTTTGGCTTTAGGGGATTCCATTTTCCCCTTATGTGTCTGACTTGCTAGGACGACGAGCGAGTATGTTCATCGGGGCAATCATCGTACTGGCTGGTGTCTTCACGCAAGCCTTATGCACCACCGTGCAGGTATTCATCGGCGCTCGTGTGCTCAGTAAGACTGCCATTCACGGAATGTTTCGGATGCTTATCCTTGTCTGGCAGTTGGCTTAGGCATAGCTTTCTCCATCAATGCTGCTCCCCTGCTCATCAGCGAACTTAGTTATCCAACGCATGTATGTCCAATCACCTCGTCTGTTATTAGTCGTCTCTAATATCATTCAAGCGTGGAAAATTGACTGCTCTATACAATTCGATGTGGTACCTTGGCAGCATTATCTGTGTGTAACATTCAGTGCCATAGAATTGATTCCTCACATGTATTGCAGCGGCCTGGATCTGCCTGGTCGCTTATGATCGAACAGGGGCGTCGCAATGGTCGTGGAGAGTCCCTGTATTCATTCAAGCTACTGTTCCTGTCCTTCAAATGATGTTGATTTGGTCGGCATTCTTGACTCTTGAAATCCCTAACGTGACTCAGCACTTCTGATCGTGTTTAGGTTCATACCGGAAAGTCCTCGATTTCTAGCAGCTAAAGGTCTGGTGAGCATTCGCGAGGAAATTTCTTGGTCAATTAGAATTCACAGGTCGAGCTTTCTGCCATTGTTCTCACAGGAATCGCAAGCTGCGCGTGTCCTTGCTCAATACCATGCAAATGGGCCAAAGCAATGTGACCATTTAGTAGCATTCGAGATGGCTCAAATCCGACATGCTCTGAATGTTGAACGAGAGATTGCCTCCAGTCCATCCTACCTGACGTGTTTCGCAACTCCTGGTAACAGACGGCGCATGTTTATCGTTATATCGATTGCAATATTCTCGCAGTGGAGGTTTGGCTAATCTTGTTCTAGTTTGTACGGAAATTGATGCACCTTTTAGTGGTAACGGTCTGGTCTCGGGTTACATCAACATTGTTTTGGATGGGATGTATGCTCTCTGGATCATTACGGCGGTACATTGGCTAAAAGTTCAACAGCGGCATAACCACGACCCGGACAAAAGCCATAATTAACGGCTGTCTACAGGTTCATCCATGCTTTCTCAGGAGCCGGAGTTGATGCTTATACTTACTATATAGGTTTTTAATCTCGCTAGTGCTCTATTAGGCACAACACTGGTGGACAAGTTGGGCAGAAGGAAGTTGTTCCTGACTTCAAATATCGGAATGTTGATCGGTCAGTACTATTCTGTGATTCGAGAATATCGCTTATTCTATCGATTGCTAGTCTTCTCTATGTGGACAATTACTACCGCTCTTTTCAAGGAGACCGGGAGTACTGTAGCTGTGAAAGGCAAGTGCGAAACCTTGTTGTACTTGGTGCGATTGTTAATTAAGCACGAACAGCTACTGTACCGCTCATTTTTATGTTCTTCTTCTTTTATGACTTTGCATATACGCCGATGATTATTTCGTACACACTCGAGATTCTGCCTTACAATATTCGCGCCAAGGGACTTGCAATTATGGTTGGACCTTTCGTGACTCCTCTTTGAACACTGTCTGACATTTTGCACAGAACTTTTCTGCCTATCTTTTCAATACTTTTAACGCGTTCGTCAATCCTTGGGCACTCGATGCCATAGGTTGGAAATACGTAAGTCATATCTCGTTCAAGTTTCTGATTGACGAACATCTTGCAAAGTACCTTGTTTACTGTGGATGGCTCGGTCTGGAGCTAGTATTTATGATGGTGTTCATTATCGAGACGAAAGGTGACTTTCATTGTTTCTGTGGCTTGTGGAGCAGCTCTGATTTTTTTCTTTAGGTCGTACTCTGGAGGAAACCGCTGCTTTATTTGACGGCGTGAGACCTCAGAATACTACAGAACGGAAGGAGAGCGCAACTTTTTCCAGAACACCTCAATACGCACCTAGACCACCCCGCCTAGAGAAGGATAACCCAGACAACTATTTCGAGCTTCATGACAGCAGTAGTGCCCGGAGCAGTGCCTTTGGATCACCTTCGCATATCGAGCTTCAGGAATACAGTAGAGTGCAGAGCGATGTCTTCGGATCGCTTTCGCATCTCGAAACACAGTCTGAAGAGTCTGCCATTACGGCTGTTAACCACCATCACGATATTGTATCTTAGACCCTATTTACTTACACACGAGCACGACCCGTGCAGATCCCCATCCGTGACACCGAATGAAATGCAGGTGCAGACTGCGAAGTGAGGCCTCAGCTTTTCAAGCCGGTCATAAATTTCAATGCTAGATCTGCAGGCACGGTCTGTCACAGCGAAGAGACTTGTGTGCGAATACGATCGTCAGACAAAAATGAAAAGGAGCATGGCGATTTCTTGCAGGAGCCGCTCGAGCACGTTCTGATCCTTCTCACTCTATATTGTCAAGTTCAATCCGAACTGCTCTTCAAATCGCATCTTATGTTCCGGATGGACAGACATATTGCTGACGCAAATCTGCAGAACGGGATAGGTATTGGGTAGTGCATTGAATGTGACACGAATTGATGGTCACCTATGCTGGTACATAATACTAGAACAAACACCGTGAAAACTTTTAAAAATACGGATCTGAATTTGGACGCGAACGCTGTGTACTTGCAAGTTGATAAATTTACAATTTGACTCACCTATGCAGTCCATCATCTCTCAACACCAAGGCAACCTCGAAGTTGTCCAAAACGCGCATTGGGACACCGGACACGAAACAACGGTCCAAAGAGCTCGGGAGTACACAAGACGGCATAGTTCTCGTTGCTACTACAAGTAGATAGGCTGAAACGGGATGCAGATGGCCTTGAGGACGAACTTTCGGTGCAAATGCCAAAGATGAGTCACGGTGCCACATCTTTGGTATCTGCACCCTCGGCTGAGAGGCATGACTTACGATCGTGAAGATCTGATTCATAAAGTTACTGCTGCTTGAAGTATAACCACTCACCGCTGACCGCTCAACACACAGACTCAAGCGCACCTCAGTCTCTCAGATAACACGCAGAGAAATCTCAAGACCGCTGAGGCAGAATTGCCACTCAGGTATAGGGTTACCGTGACCTAGATTCCCACGAAACTAAGACCATTCTCTCACCCTCATAACCAACTACTCTAATTCAATAAACCAGAAGACAACTTGGTCAGGAATGGGAGGTGAGATTGAAGGTGGAAGAGAAGTCTAAGGAGAGGCAGGGTGTGAAGGAGAGTGTTGGAGTTGGAGACTCAAAGAAATTTTGTTCCCCCCTCCTCACTTGTCTCTCTTTTCGCATATCGAGGTCTTGTGCTGATGATGTTTTACGGTAAGAATCTAGAATGCCAGCAGCTCGTCGCTCAAACACGTGTCTTGCAACAGGTACTTATTACAGATATTGGCAATATATCGGTTACGGTCTTGACTCGTGTGACGACAGCTCGAAGTGCACGTTACACTTGAGGTGAAGGCACACGGAAACGAGTCTAAAGACGATCAAGCAAAGTCACCAGGTAATATCTTAGTTGCAAGAAAGCCAAAGCGTTACAGGTCTATCTACTGGGTCTTTTATAGGTTTATAGTAAGGTAACATGTGAAATAGCAGGTCGTATGGTATGGGGCGGCCGCGCATAGCGCCGGAATAACTTGGGCTATAAGATAACAAGATAAGTGCGATGATCGCATGGGGGTCAGGCTGAGTGGACGTGCAGACGCCATGGCAACTCGTGATGTCTGGCCAGTGGCCGGCAGGTAAGTAGGCAACTGATCCTTCTCAGAGAGTCAGCTCACGACTCACGATGGCTTCAGAAGAAAGCCCTATGCTGGTGCGCACCCCGCACGAAGCTATTTATGACCGATTCGCGCCAGACAAAAAGAGGTGGATCCTGTTTCACGTGTCCTTTGTGGGTTTGTTGGCTAGTGAGTACTGGGAGACTGTTGACCCAGAGGCGTGATACTGATGAACATTGGTCAGTGTTCATCCAAGTGACATTCGTGCCTTCGATCCCTCGCATAGCTAAAGATCTCGACTTAACGGATGCTGTCGTCAGGTGTGTGTTGTATGCTCATCCAATGTGTGGTGATTGAGCTATTTCCCAGCTTGGCTTTTAGCATATCGATCTTTGCTACTGCCATCGGAGCGTTGATTTGGGCTTCTTATTCGTCTTTCTGTGCGTGCATCCACGGCGTGTATTGTACTCGTGGTAGCTGTTGAGCTCTAACCCCAGTCCTAGTACAGACGGACGCCGAACAATATACCTGTGGGGAATGTCGTTTCTCTGCGTTGGGAGCTGTGGCGTTGCCCTGTCCGCTTCATTGCAGAGTCTGTTATTCTGGCGATTCGTGCAGATGTTTGGATGCTCTGGGGCGTTGTCGTTGGGGATTGGCGTAATTGGTGACCTCTATAAATTGGAGGAGAGGGGGACTGCTATCGGGGAATTCTTTAGTGTGAGGAATCATGATGTTTGAATGGTTTTTTCGGTTTGGTACTGACATCGCTATCTCAGATCACACTTATCGGGTACACTGTTGGCCCATTTGTTGGAGGTAAATGCATTCTGCATGTTTTTGGCCGCTGACTCTAGCGACGCATTTGAACAGGTGCGGCGACACAGTATTGGTCCTGGCGCAATTTGCATTATTCCATTTGTGCATGGGCATTACTCGAGATGCTTTTCATATACCTTTCGTTGCCTGAGACGAGTCATCCCGGCACATTGGGCATCGATAAACTGCCGTCGAGGAGATCGATCCATATCGTATGGATTAATCCTCTGAGCACTCTTTGGTTGCTTCGCAGTCCAAACCTATTTGCGGTTGTGAGTGCATTTACCATGCGCTAGTGCAAACTCTCAATTTGTGTGAGATGTAGATGCTCGCGTCAGCTCTAATGGTCAGCACTATCTATGGTGTGTCGTCACTTGCTACTGATTGTATAGTGCATTCTCACTTAAAACAATGCAGTTCTCGTCGTACCGATGGCGTATACTATTGTAAGCTGACAATTGTCTTTCATCTCGCATCCTGTCCTGATCGCGGTGTAGGGCGTCCAGTATGGAATCACGAACGAAGCCATCATCGGGGCGTTTTTCCTCCCAAATGGACTGGGAAGTTTCAGTATGTGCAGAGCATTGTACTCGCGGTGCACTAACACAATATTTGACAGCCGGAGCTCTGATTGCTGGCCGCCTATCGGACATTGTAATCAGAAGATGGCGGGAGAAGCGCAGAGGAGCGTGGTGTCCCGAAGATCGTTTGAGAGCAACGTGGATCGGAGGGTTGATCATTGTCCCGTTGTCTGTTGGGGCGTCAGGGCTGATCACAACGTATATTGGGGGCCCGATCGGCCTCGCGCTGAATATATTATGCCTCTATGCGAATGGAGTGGGGGTAAGTCCTGCCAGCTGGTCCCCTCACCCCGTACATAATGCAATTCACCGATTTTATAGGTCGATTCAGTAACGAATCCTATCAACTCTTATAACGTGGACGTGCTACATTCTCGAAGTGCTGAGGCCACAGCTGCTTGCATGTCAGTCTCTATGATATTGTGTGACTATCAAACCTGAACGCGTCCATGTACCTGTTAGAGCGAGCTGGTCGCTCATTCTGTCTGCTACCTCTGCTCTTATCGTTCCATCGATCGAGCGTATAGGTGTTGCGTGGACGAATATCATCGCTGCTGTCTTTGCGGTCATTGGACAAGGGTGAGGGTCTTTTTAGCCACAAGACCGGTGATACTGACATAGTGATGCTTCAAAATTTCTTTCGTAGGATCATCTTCTTGACAATTCGTTATGGCGATCGCATGAGGGCGAGCATAGATGTTGGTTTCTCGACAATAGAGAATAACTGACAGATGTTTATCTGGAGGGAGGCAATATGTATCATAATCAATACTAGATTGTCCCACCAGTCCGTGTGTCCCAAGAGTTCCCGCATTGACTCTAGCACACACATTGTACTTTCGATGTCAGGCTATCGAACTGTCAAAGAATTATTTTTTTATGTTTGTGCGTTGTGGAGTAATAGACGTTGCCCCAAAATGCGCGAACTCTGGTGGACATCTAGTATGGATCAATCTCAAGTGGTGCGCGCACATGGCGTCGACACCGATTGGAAATCGCTCCGTTCTTACAATATGTAGATAAGCAGTACTAGTATACTAGTGTCTGTTGGGACTATTGGCTATTAATGTTCTCCAGTTTTGATCCAGACCTCAACACAGTCCTCCGAAGAAGGAAATGCTCCCCAACCATCATGGTCAATTGCAACAGTTCGAGTGTCGTCAAACAAGCTGTGGAACGTTGCTCCTTGGTGCTAGAGAATACAAGAGATAAGCAGATGTTATAGCTACAATTTATAATGAACACATACTAGGCCAACGTTCATTCGAACTTTGGACGTAGTTGGGTCCAGCCTCGAGGAAGCGATCAACAGATGAGCATGTGTAAAAGACACGAAAAAACTCACATCGGGTCATTACTAAGCACAACTACACACCCAGCATGATCGGAATCGCCCATGCGCACGAACCCAATACAGTTTCTGTGTTCGAAGTAATCTACCATAGGTCCATATGCGAACGATTTCCGTGCAAGGAGTAACTTTTTCAGAATGCGAGAGGTGCCCTCGTCAAAGCACTCATCATTGGGATACAGGTCACCATAGAAAACACATCTGCCATGGCATTCGTGTTAGGGCCGATGTTTCAGCAAGATAGCACATACGGATATCCGTGACATCGCAGTAGGATGAGGGCGTACGCTTGAGCTTTGAAGTTGGTGTCCACCTAATTGAAATTGCTCGAAAGCTACCAAAACAGAAGTGCGAACGGCTTACCCAGCTCTCCAGAGACTGGCCAATTTGCTGGAACAATCATTGGCTAAATTGTTTGCGGTCATCAAACGCTTGCTTACCGTGCTATTACAAGAAACAGTCACTCATAGAACAGTAGATATCTGGTGCCAACACTCACTCGTGATTATCAACGAAAGTGACAGCATCTTCTGGCCTCAATTTTACCAGGGAACCTTCAAAAATGGTCCTCAGGTCGTATGAAGCACCTGCTTCGCTTGCTCTATGAAAGTTCTCGTGCAGTGGAACGTCGAAAAAGGAGGTCTGTTGCTATTAACCCCGAGTCAGTGATGTCATTGGATGCACACCTGGCCATGGAACGCCCGAATATATGGGGTTATAGATTGCAAGCTGCTCTCGTTCAGGGGCCTGTATATCACGGAATCCAGGATGGACCTACTTCGCTGACCAGTACTCTGATACCGCAAACAATCGCTTCCTGCCTGGGTGGTTCCGAGTTCTTTTGATCTTCAATAGTAAAGTGGCTCCGTCACAAGATGAAACAAATAAAGACGAAACACCCCCTTACAAACTCAAGAAGGAACCTGCGGTCCATGTGTTTGATGGCATCCAGTCTGAACCCGGAGGCGCCTGTGGTCTAGAACAATTTCAGAAAATCATGTAAGAAACTATGGAGACAAGACGTACGTCAAGGATCCACGAGCCCCACGAAAATAGATCATCTCGTACTTCAGGGTGACGGTGGTCAATCTATAGTTCCCGGATAGTTGATTAGAATGAGCACTTTAACGAAAAGCCACGACGAACATCGATGCCCAGGAGATAATCATAGTTCCCATTCTCAGTGTCCACCCACCTTGACCAACCTTTGTGTATTTCTGAAGAAATGCGAAATATACCCTTGGTTTGCGCGAGCTCATCCCAGTCCAACCCTTCAATAATTTCAGTCATAAAAGCAAAGAAGGTCCGACACGGACTGACCCGTAAAATGATTAAAATTCCACCGCATGCTACTATACTGGGTTGTATGTTTATCTCTAGTCAATGAAATTATAATGTATTGTATTACCTTCCCAAGCCGTCCAGGAAAATCAAATGCAGTCCAGCCCTGCGGATGATATTAAAAGGGTCTTCAAAGCAGGGGAGGGGAATCATACCTTGACTGGTCTCTCGTTCTCGATATCCCGCAACCGATTTAATGGATCGACGCGTACAGCACGAAAGGCCTCTGTTCTGTCTGCACCGAGTTTGTGCTTATGTACCGTGGCGCACGACTGAGTGTGAGTACAGACTCATGAGATATAGCTGATATCCTTACATTGAGAACTGCATCGATGAGAACGTTCATATTGCATTGCCTTGCAGTATCACAAGCTCTCAAAAGGTCTTCTTTTGTTCCCCACCTCGTAGCAACGGAGCCTTTCTGGTCGAATTCGCCAAGATCCCACTACACAAACGTCTGAATGAGTGTTGAAACAAGTGTTACGGGACATCGTACCAAGTCATAAGCATCATATCCGCGGCCCGTCTACGGTAATCATAGTACAGTGGGATTGTGAACATATCATCAGAACTGCTGACTCTCACCTGTTCCATTGCTTTGTTCGGCGGAGGGAGCCAGATCTGCGTGAACCCCAATACGGCCAAGTGCGGGGCTTCTTTCGCAAGATGTTCCCACCAGCTCATGTCTGGGTGCCGGGCATCCCAGGTGAAAAATTGTACCTTGAAGGATACATTTTGAATAGGCATTTCGGAATGCAAATTGCAACTGACAACTCACCATCGTAGGATTCTGAGAGCTTCCATGAAGCCCAAGTTGCATTGCTGGGAGAGATGGAGGCACCCATTTAAGCAGCAGGCAATCCAACCAATACCTGAGCTGGCGGTAGATGTGGCCCATCGAAAAGCGCGCAGAGTTCATGACATCAATTAGCTGTCCCAGTGCTGTCTGCATCTTGAACAGGCGCTAACTTTGGCAACGGTGACCTCGGTACGTCAAGAAATTTACGCCTCGGCTAACCAGTCTTTAGAAATTAGTACCACGTCTGAGATGAAACCAGGCTGGTCACGAGCCTACTTGCCACCGGCATCTTCCGAGGCCTATAAATCTTCTTGAAGCTCTGTTTCAAATTTTTCACCGTTTACATGACCACCTCTCACTACTTATTCCAGGAAGCGTTCCGCTCACCGATGGAATAAGGGCACCGTGTGTATTTATCACAGGATGGTCTATAGAGGAAAGCCTCTTTAATCACTCTAATCACGAATATTTACGTTGAGAGGAGTTTCATGATGTGGCGACAAGTTTCCCTTCCCTCATTCCCACTTTACTATTGCCATTACTGCATTATAAATGTATGTGCCTCTTCTCTGGGCCAGAGCGGGTGCCAGTTGGTCGAACAAATCTATGCATGGTTACTTCAATGCTTGAATTTAAAGCACATTAAGTGTTGCGTGGGCGAAGTTCAAGGGTTTTTTTCAAAAGCCTCAAGCATCACATTGTCGCGACGGTGGGACGCACCGACGGCCTGAAACCAGGGCGGTGATCGCGAGACGTATTATGTTTACATCGATATCTCATCTTTCCGGCACTAGTTTGTTGCTTCTACATTGTTAGACATGCGTGTTCATCATCGGCGACTCCAGCTCTCAGATCGATGCACTATCAGTCCATCGCCATCTATTGGCACGTCAATTCAACGCAAACCCGACGTATGACCTTCTCCATGGATGGCAAGCATATCCTCAGCGGCCTTGCGTGCCGCCGCCCCCACAGTGTGTACGGTTGAATAATTGCGGTGTAAAAGTTGCTGACGCTGTTTATTCTTCTGACAGGGCTTCAACGTACAATCGAGGTCATCTTATGAAGGCATACTTGCACCTTTGTTATTCAGTACGAATTGGTAGGGCGAATTCACATAGAAGCTCCTAGGCTCAGAGCTTGAGTCATGAACCGCAGGCGCGACCAGCTGAGGATTTCACAATCGAGGTCTTGAAGAGACATTGCCGCCACGGTAGTTCAGTAACAATATGGTGTATGGATGCCTCAAATCATGAGTTCTAGTGTTGTCGGCAGATCGCTAACGTTCTAGTTCCCTTCGCCATGGCAGTGGCAGAAGTCCAACAGACGCCGGGGCCAAAATCGTTCTACCATGGCAGATCCTTATTTGCGGCCAGGTTCTGGCAGTTCTCGCGATAAAATTCTCCACCAACAGTGCTTCGTGCAACCCTCGGATTCGTGACTAACGCATCATTATCCATATAAAAATCAGGATGTCTGTATCCTACGACCATAACTAATTTCGCTACTCCAGCATAAGAAAAAAGCCCAACGTCGCACTAATAACCAGCATAGCCGAAGGTATCGGACGCGACATTGCCCTGCGGCTTGTAGAGGACGGACTTGACATCGTCAACACAGACTTGAAATCACAGTGCACGAAGTCGACGTCGCGGACGAGGTGGAGGCGCAAGGGAGGCGGTGCGTTGTCTTGGAATGTGATGTGTCACCAGAGGGGGTCCAGTACATGGTGCAGACTACGGAAAAAGAGTTCAACGGTTTGGACGTGGTGGGTGCCTCGTTGGCTGCAAACCTGCCATTAACGGTGTTCTAGATGGTGGCGAATACCGGGCCGGTCAGATCATTGTGAAGTCTGTGGTTGATTGTAAACCAGCCCCGTCTTTGATACGCTTTTATGGTGACCGTCATACCCCTAAAGCTACACTCGTCAACTTCGATTGGATCTTCAACGTCCATGTGCGCGGTATGTTCTTGTGTTTGCAACCAAGGTTATGATCGAGCGGGGGCATTGCGGGAGGCACAACCCTTGGTTCTTTTGTATTTGGATGATAGTATCCTTCCTTGTCATAGGTGCTTTGTTAGCATGAGGGAAGAAAAGGATGCCGTTGACCAGCGTTTTCTGTGCATCGAAACCTACCATCCAATCATTCACCCAGGTGCTCGGTGTGTAGTCAAGAGGTTTTATTACTTCATCTCTCATTTTTCTGTTCTTATGTTTCAGCGAGTGAAATTGGATCACAAGGCATCACCGTAAACGCCTATGGCGCACCTGAGCAGTCGATACGTGTCTCCGTAAGTCATACTGCATCATATTATTTTCTCTGTTACCATAGTCTCCCTACCTCCCATCCATCACCCATCTCTTCGTTAGTTTATGCTGTTACGGTCTCCAGTGCAAGACTCCGCCGAGGCATTCGCGAAACAGTTGGGGTTTCCTGATGACAAGACATTTATTTATCCAGGATGTATGTATCAGCATTCCTCTGGTGGGGTGAGCTTTCCCACTCCTTTCAACCGCTTTACAGTACCAGACAAACGCGCGAATGGTGTTGTTTCTCGCCACAAAAAACTCCGTTTATATCACTAGCCAGACGATCACAATTGATGGCAGATGAATATTAATCATGTACTTCTGGCCGTGAGAACTGCAGCAATGTAACTTGTTTGCAAAACATTTTTGAATCCAAAAGTGAAATTGTTGAAATGATCATATCTTCACTTGCCTTCCTACAGCGCGCCGTTTGCGGGTTCATAAGCATATTTTGGGCCCTTACAGCTGTGACCAACGACTCGCCAGTCACCAGGATTCAAGATCAAACATGACGTTCATCGATCACATCAAAGACTCCAGTCAGCTGCCGTGCATCCATCCACATGGGACAAACTTCATCCGCGAGTTTTGGTGAAACTTGGTCCTGTGCTTGATGGATGTAATCGTCGCGGCGCATCTTTCACAGGCGACAGCTCGGTAGGGATTCCTAGGCCGAGTTCACCCTGCGGGTGATTGAACCCCAAAGTTTCAGCGGACCATCAACTAGAGAAACGTGTAACGCACCTGGTCCCAGTGAAACACCGGAGGCTGTTGTTGCGTAGAAGGGAAGATGCCTACATTGAGCTTCCGTTTCTTCTTCTTAGGTGCCGGATCTTGGTCATCTTCTGCGGCACTATCTGCAACAGCAGCAGATTTTGATGTCTTTGTTCGCAACGACTCCGCAGCTTTCTTCTGGTTCTTGGCTTCGGATTCAAGAGTACGTTTCTTTGGTGCCTTCTCATTTGACGCGGAGGCGGCCTTTTTTGCTCGTGCATGCTTTGCTTTCTCTGCTGCAGGTTTTTCATCGGCACTGTCTTCCTGATGTGCCTTTCGTTTACCTTTCGCTTTGGCGGAAGGCTCAATTACTTCAATGTCACTGTCAACTGGCTTCGAGCGCTTGACTGGTTTAGGTCTGGGTTTGGGTTTCGGGCGAGGTCGATCAGCCTCCTCTTCTGATGCCAAAAGGATAGGAGGAGACGTTGTGTTGCTCTGGATTATCGTGCGTTGAGACATGGTATAGGCACATAAAATTTTCCCCACCTTTGGAGCAGCGGATGTTTTGAGTGCAGCAGTTAGCTGAGCCTTCAAGTCTAATATCTCTTGCTCAAGTTTTTCTGCCGCCTTTTTCGCATCTGTAGCTTCATCATCAGCCTGTTTCAGGAGCGTGCTCTGCTCTCCGGCTTCGGTCTATAAACAATCAATCGCTTGAACATACAGCGTGACAGCTAGAGAAAAAACTGACCTTCCACTCATGGAGGACTTCCTTAAGTTTAGTGGTGCGACCTTTCTCCTTCTCGAGCGCTTTATCACGTTCTTGGATCACTGCATTCACTTCCCTTAATTGAGCCTCTAACTCGACGTTCTTCTTCCGCGATATCTCCATATCTGCATCATCACCTTTCTTCAAGCCTTGCCAATTGTCAAGTTGACGTTGCAACTTAGCATTATTATCCTTGTGATCCTCAAGCTCTCGCTCGAGTTGAGTCACCCTCGCTTGTAGACCATCACGTTGCACAGTTATCCGGGAAAGTTTGGACACATTTGTAACACTCGTCGCGTCTGCGTCTGCTTGGGCTTCTCGTAGTCGACGCAGTTCATCCTACTACTAAGTTAGACCATCGGTCAAGATTGGTACTGAAGGAGCAGACCTCGACATCTTCGCGTTGCTTGTGAGCTGCTACAATTTCGTCCGACTTCAGCTTCAACTCGGATGAAAGCGTCGCGTCTCTTGTTTGTAAGTCGAGGATAGTCTTTTGGTACTGTTGATCACGAGATTTAAGCGAAGACTCTGTTTCAGCCACTCGAGAGTCGAGATCTGCCTGAAGGTCCTCCAATTGACTTTCCAATTCTGCCTCCCTAGCCTGGAACATGGTGATCTTGTAATCCCTTTGTATACGTGCAAGCCTCTCGCGCCGTGCAATTGCGCGTTCCTTGAGCACTGCGATTCGTTCGTCGTCCAGAGCGTATGTCGTTTTGAGATGAGCAATCCTATGGCACGCCTGTAAAGCATCGCAACCAGCGTGCCACTCCTTTTGCTCTGCTTGCCATTGTTGTTTAATGGCATTGACAGTGTCCTTGGCGCGAGTTTGTTCAAGACTGAATTCATCGTTCAACTTCTTGATGGTATGTTCCAAATTCCGAGTCTTCTGCACTAGGTTCTCTATGTGACCTTTCTGTGATGCGACCATCGCGTCGTGTGGAGCGAAGGGAGCCGCTGTTCGCACCGGAGTTGGTGCCCTCTTCAAATTGGGTTGCGGCATCACTGTGTGCGCGCTACATTAGAACGAAATGACGCGTTTAAGGAGAAACGTTCCAACCAATACTCGTGAACGAGTGCCAGATGATGATGATTATTTAAAAAGTTCGTAGTCACTGGTGAAGTAAAAGAATTGTCAATGAGTTTGCTCGCCTGAAACTTTACATAAAGTCACTAGGTAGCTTAGTTGTTCGGATCGTGATTGTACGTATAGTCAACACGTGATATTCTTCATCGGTCAATGCCGCCATCATGGCCAACTCGACGCTTTGTCTTTGCTCCGGCTTACGAGTGCCGTGACTTCAAAGCTTCAAGCTTCAAGCTTCAAGGCCTAGTGCAACGCAATCACACGTACCAATATCTCAATGTCGTCCAAACTGGTTCTAGCGCAAAATGGTCATCCTGCGGACAGTTTTATGACGGCACTAAACCTTACGACGACCGGCTCTGAATGCGTCAGTAGTTGCTGTGCGCAGTGCCATAGACTTCCGGTAGGCATTGGCTCGTGTGTAGAAAATTTGCGGGAGTATACTTTTTATCATGTTGGAACGGGACTCCGGTTCTCACTCGCAGCAAATATTTGAGTGAAGGATGCGCGCGTGCGCCGTGACTCTGTCGCCAATGCTTCAAATGATTGTCCTATGATGACGATGGGGCCGTGCTATTTGCGAGGATAGCATTCTTGACAGCTAGGTTTACTTATGGCACTTAGGATTCGATCCGAGATCTCAATTGTTACTTTTCCTATGCGATTGAACAGTATGCGAGCCAACCGCGACTCACGAGCAGCGAGGTCCCCGGCTCCACGAAGTGGGATCAGTGCGCTTGAAATGATCCCCCCCCTTTTTTTTTGACAAGGTTCGGGCGTTCTCTCATCACGCCAGGTTGGTTGCATAACATCCATATCCCCTGTAAGTCACCTCCTGTAGTTGTCGCCTTTTGCTCGTTGTTTCCTTAGATCTCTCGTAATCGTGTCGGCGATTTTGCGAAGCGCACTTGATCACTAGGCGCTTTGCTGTAAGCACGCTGGCTTACCTGGGTTCCCACAATCAGTACATATACTATCGCTGATGCTGAAAGCTATTTCCTTTTGGTGTAACGGTTATGCGCTGGTGACGGTCTGACCAAGTTTCATTTGTCCATCAGCTCAGCGCGATTCTTTCGGACATGCATTCGTTTCATTAAGTGCTCATCCTGTCTGGTTTGCTCATATGCCTTCATGTCATGCAGATAACTTAAGTGCACTGTCGGCTCCCACTCTCCCCACTACTGCCCAGCGCCCCAGCTGCCACCGATCCTCTGCACGCGTCAAGAAAGAGATGGAGGTGACTGACAAATAATATTACGGTGCATGTAAATAGAGGATGTGGAATAGGCCGGACCGTCAAATGTAAGAACATATACTACCTGTAACTTAGGGCAGACTAAAGCCAACGAGATTCTACATAAATTTATCACTGAATGGATGGCGTTCACCGGAAGGCCGTTCCCGTGTGAACGTGACGAGAAGCTGAGGTCTAGGTTGATGTAAAGGGTGCTGAACATGACACCAGAAAGAAGTCAGAGATGTATGTTGTGAAAGCCTTCGCGGGAATTGGCGGCTCACCGCCATGATATAAGAATAATGTTAAATGCATATGACTTGGCCTCACTAGGGCTTGCCCAATCATCTTCACATGGCATATGTTAATGCTTATCAACCCCCTCCTCCCGTAAAACCTGCTTACGGTCCTCATGGTCCCGTCCCCTATGACATCAACGTTGCCTTTCCCCTCGACTTCACTCAGCTGGAGTCCCCGCGTCTGAAGCTAACGCCTTTCGTACCATCCATTCACGCTGCGAAATATCATGCAGCGATTTCAGACCCTGTGCACTTCTACCGTTACTATCCCTTTCCCGGCATAGAAGATCCAGAGTCGTATCTGCTGTTCATGGACTCCTTCGTGCGCCAGAACACGTATAGTGTCCTCTTCGCGATCATAGACAAAACAACACCAGACCCAGACTATCCGGAGTGGGGAGGGAAGCTGGCAGGAACAATTGCACTCCTCAATTGTTCACCGACAAACCTATCGGTGGAGATTGGGGTTCTGTGTATCCTGCCCGAATTTCAGCGTACACATGTCGCAACGCATGCAGTAGGAACACTCCTCAAGTACTGCTTTACCATGCCCTCTACATCCCAGTCTGAATTTGGCTTGGGGTTGAGAAGAGTACACTGGTATGCGCATCCGGATAATGAACCATCCCTGAGACTTGCTGCTCGCATGGGGCTCAAACGCGAAGGAACTTTGAGATGGGCATGGGTGTTGCCTGCCGGGAAAGTACTCGGGAAGACACCTAGGAGAAACGATATGCTGGCAGGACCAGGGAGAGACACGGCAATTATGGCTGTGTCATGGGAAGACTGGGAGGACGGAGCAAGCGAAATTGTGACGACGCAAATGGCCCGGATGGAATAATACATGGGTAGTCAATTCACGCCAAGGAATGCAATAGACAAATTCTCCTAAAATATATAGTAGAAACAATGATGGTATACATAGCACTGGATAACATACGCGGGAATTAATAGTCGGACTCGTGTGCGATCATGGTCCATGTAGTTGAATGAATCCATCCTCTGCCATGCCTCTTGCTGACCTTCTCCTCACATCTGGAGACATGCTGGCACCCATACTGTCTCTCATACCCATCCTTGCAGGAGAGGCCCCATCCGCTCCAGGACCGTAGAAGTGATTGGGTGGAATGCCATTGAATGGGACATTCGAGTAACCCCCAAGATTGGGATGACGTGGAGCCACTTGAGACATGCCCGGCGATGCATATGGGTAGTTATGATTTGATGAGGTCGAGTGATTTCGAGTAATACGAGAAGGATCGTGTGCACGAAAGTCGGGAGGCTGCATTGAAGTTCGAGCAGCATTCTCCTCCTCGCGTTGCTGTTTCTGGTACTCCATCAGTGGGGACGAGTTATAATATAGATCAGACCCTTGGTCTACATGAAATCTGAATAATTTTCAATTTCCTTTGAATATGACATGGCTGTACGACGCACTGTTGAGTTCCAACATCCCACTGTGGTCCACGTTCAGCACGGGCTGTAATAAGCAATGAGTTCCACTCCGATGCAGACTCCTAAATAGAACGCTCGTAATGTTAAAGTGGTTGTGCAGGCAGTGCAGCATGGTACTCACGACAGCCTGAGCTGTATTATTTGAGTCATAGTTCGGCTGGTGAGTAGCCACACGAATTTTCTCTTTCCTAGCCAGGGCTGCAACATGCGCAGAGAATTTTGCGCCTATCCTTTGGGCACCATGACGCGGAACTTTGATTCTGATGGCTTTTGCTGGCTTCCCAGGTGACATGGCGAGTAGTACGGCAAGGGATAAGGAACTCGGGCTATTATCCGGCGGAAGATGCCGATAATGTTCCTCCCGGCTTAGTTCAGCTTACTACTATGATAGCCCTACGAGTTCTGTGACTGCACCTTACTTCTTGTGATCCATTTGCCATAGAAGCACTCCGTCGTGCATTATGCAGCACGTGTTGTATGCAGCCTATATGTCAGTCGACTTTTACTCGTGACTTTACTTATGCGGAATGGCCATTCCACGGAGGGGCTGCCGATCAGTGGACCGGTGAGTTCTTGCTGAACGATTATGCTGATTGCGGGCGCTTTTAAGTTGGTCACGAAAGGAGTCCTTTCCCACATATTACAACAATATCTTCTTTTCTGATCACAGTGTGAGGCCAGGGCTCAAGAATGCGCAGCGTGGTGTTTACGTTGTTGATCCTTACCTTATTCAACGGTATACAGTCTGCACAGAATTCCGAGTCCATTTGCCCTACAGTCAATGTCGGGTATGCGACATATCTCGGCAACCGGACATACTCAAATACGGTGGCGTACCTCGGGATACCGTATGCTGAACCTCCTGTAGGCGATCTGCGCTTCCGTGTAACTGTTCCTCTGAACACTACGCGTGTGAGTGAAGAGGCCAACTTGAACGGGGATGCAGTGATCAACGCGACCTACTACCCTGACTTTTGCATCCAAGGAACAACGGGTGGTATTTGTGGTTGCCTTCCTAAAATATCTTCTCTGACACTGTGGCCCAGCTGGGGATGCAGGAGGTGCAGGATCAGAGGACTGCCTAAACGTCAACATCTACTCACCCTACGGTGCCCAAGAAGGTGACAACCGTACGTTTTACTATAGACATCCTGTTCTACGTTTCTCACCGCTCAATGGATCTATGTAGTGCCTGTGCTGTTCTACATCCATGGCGGAGGTAAGTTTTCAGGGATTACATTTACCGGACCGAATTGCTTAATCTCATTGCGACAGGTTATATCTTTGGGAACCCACGCAACTGGCCATTTGATAACTGGGTCTATCAAAGTCCGAATGTCATTATCGTGTCTGTTTATTACCGTCTTGATTCTTTTGGCTTCCTAGCCACTCCCGAATTTGCCAACAGTACGTACGGCGACTTTAACGCGGGGTTCAAGGACCAGACCCAGGCACTCAAATGGGTCAAATCATACATCAGTAAATTCGGCGGTGATCCGACCAAGGTGACCATCAACGGTCAGAGCGCCGGTAGTAGCTCCGTGGAGCTACACATGATTGCCAACGAGGGCGAACAGCTTTTTTCTGGCGCTATTGCGCAGAGCGTCTTTAGGACGCCTCTTCCCACTCCTGAGCAACAGCAGGCATGTGACTCGCCCTACCGAGATGAACGCCACATCTGATGCCCATGGACAGCCCCTGTTTCAATTCTACGCATCATATGCAGGGTGTGGAACGGGCTCTGTGGCAGAGCAAATGACATGCCTCCGCGGTGCAAGCGTTAGCGCGCTTGCACGGGCACAAGATGCCGCAGCTCAAGGAAAATTGTGAGTTTTGCCCACTCTGCCTGAGGCACTCGTTTTCGCAGCTGACAGGTGGTAGTTCCGGGTTGTACAATGTATTTCGTCCTGTCTTGGACGGCGTACTGATTACTGGATACCCTACGTTAAAGTTCCAACGCGATGAGTTTGCTCATGTTCCACTTATAGTTGGGTATGTTGGCATCTGAGTTATTTTGGTGCCGCACTACCGCTGATAACACCATTTTATAGCGCAACCTCCAACGAGACTCTTTCTGGCGGGACGAACATCTCTCTGGCACTTCAGGAATTTTTCCCATCACTGACAGACGCTGACATTCAGGAATTCCTGCTTCTATATCCAGTAGATGAATTTGATTCTTTGAGTCAGCAACTCCAGGTGGCCACTGGTGAACCTGAATTGATATGCGGTGTAAGTTTGAGCCTCACTCCGCCGAGCTACTCTTGAGTCGTGCTAACAGTACGCATCAGCGCCAGGCCATGGGCGGCCCATCTTCGCTATATTCCAATACTTGGACTTATCGGTACAATACACCTAACCCGACGAGTGGTAGCGATCTTGTCTCACATGCTGCGGAGAACTGGATGATGTTTGATGGCACTAACACCGGGTGGGTCTCCGACACCCAGTCCATCTAACTAAAAGCACAGGCTCATTGAGAAATGACATTCCAGTTTCAATGGCTCCACGACATTTATATCACAGACACCCGCCGAACTCGCGTTTGCTTCCGAACTCATTGCTTACTGGCTTTCCTTCGTGCGCGCTGGCAATCCGAATACTTACAAGCTGGACAAGTCTCCGGTGTGGGAGCAGTACACCGAGTCCAGCCCAATGCGGATGGTTCTGATGCAGGACCCACAAAATCTGACGAATGTGAGTGGTAGCTATATGGAGAGACAGCCTGTTGCAGAGGCTGCCAGGTGTGCATTTGCAATTAGCAAGGTGAAAGCTTTTGAAAATTAGGCAGGATCGTAGTGACCTGTCCAACTCATTTACCTTATACCTAAAGAAATGTAAACTAGAGTGGTGGATCACCCTCGATGACATTAGTGCCGAACTCGCGAGAAGAACCGAACGGTGCCTAAACCCGGTAGATTGCAAAATCCTCTCCGGAGTCAAACTACGTATGTGGGAGTCGGTTCATTAATGTTTCCGACTCATACGTAGCGTCACGTATGTCGATGACGCATTGCACGGACTCCACTGGGGATGCCCGCAGTTTTTCTTGTCAAAAATAACTTTCTGTTTTTCTGGCGTCCATAGTAGGCTGTTTATCCTTCTACGAAATAGTATTGACCGACTCCATCGGATCTATAATAGGCTACAGCATTATGAGCATGAAATAGATAGTCAGTCAAGTGAAGAAACTGCCAGAGCATACGCAAAATAAACTTCTGGGGCCACCCAGTCATTACAAGTACTGTTGATGCTCATTGATGTTCATCTTTTGCATGTGAGAATACGATCTCCTGCAGCTTGGGGGATGCAATATCTCGTTCCCGGTGTAGTAATACTCGTCCACACAACAAAGGAAAGGCAACAAACATGTTTATTTCGAGGACATGAAGTGCGACAGCGTACTATAAGGTCACCGAGACACTATGCAAGAATCAAATGCAAAAGTCTGCCAATTATAAGCCAATCAAACCATGACGGATTCCCAGGGAAACTGAAAGGACCAAAGTTCAATGCTGGTAAAGCTGGACGTCATCATGATGGAGCCCAGAACCATGAGTTTCCTAGAAACTCGACAGTGTCGTTAGTGATTAATTCTGGAATGTACTAAAAGTTGTCGTATTACGGGATTTGGTTGCATGATTCAATTTAAAGCTTCGGTCTCCATCGTGACGCACCAAGCCATGTTTTGGATTGTCGCCCTGCTTTTGATAAACGGGAGACTCGAATATGCCGCGAGAAGGAGACTCTGCAGCGTCACGCGACGAGCAAAGATATTCCGATGGCGGCCTGTCATATCAATTGGCGTGGGTGGTCTGAATAACGGCGGAGTCCACGACCAACATGAGGGAAGTACTGTCGCACACCCTTAGCTGGACTGAAAGAAAGAACACGTCTATCGCTATGTAGAGCCTGAAGCCGTAATATTGTATACCATGTCCCTGAATAGAATGAAACAAAGTATTCGAAGGTAACGGTAAAGATGAAGAATACACTCCAAAGACAACAAGGCTGGATATCAAGAAGGGGCTATAACTGTTAGGGTACAGTAGGTTGCTGTAATGGTGTTGGAGAGCTCGGAGAATTGGATTGGAGACTGGATGGGTGCAACTTGATGGTGTTGGAGCAGCCGTGGGAAATAATGAGTGGACAGCACCGTGACCCGTTAAAGGGGCACCCCTGCGTTGCTCCTGCGCAGTGTGCACCAGTACCCCACACTGACATCATCGCACCGCTCCCTGCAGTTATAAAAGACACAAGGTCCATATTACATTGTATTCAGTTTTCCCCGTTACACAAACATTACACAAACATTATGTGGTTCACGCACGATTCTGAAGAGTCTAAAGCACACTCGGAGGTAAGCTGCAATGTGTTACGTTGACCAGTTATCTTGACGATCTGTAGGTGACTGGCGGACACAGCGCCAAACTGAGCCATGAGCTCCTTGCCGCTGCTGCGTCATACGAGGTTTGTCTCATGCATGTCGAGCATGATGTCGTTACCGATCACATCCTAGGCTGCAAAAGCGTACGAGAAACATGTCCAGAAGAACGGAAAACCCGCAAACCACGCGAAGGCCGTAGAGCTGCTGTGAGTATCCGCAGAATGGTCTCGAGATTATCTGACAAAAACTCTTCGTAGCGCGGGGCTGACGGGTGGCTTTGTTGACCGCATTGCAGAGACCAAGGGAATGGACGCACTTGATAAGGAAAAAGCCAAGCATGCAGGTGCGATCTCCAAGCCTTGAAGTATACAACGCCCTGGATCATCATTTTTGTAGCACATGAACGAGCTAAAAGCTCCCTCGAGAAACATGGAGAATTTTGAATCAGCCATAGTGACAGGTTGAATGTACACGACGGACTGGGTAGCACGATGTACAATATAGCTTAAATTTATCGCTTAGTGGATCGGATCATCGAATTCCAGAATGTGTAACCTATGATCCTACAATAACGGAGTTAAAACCACGTTGGAACACATTACACTCACCAATTTAGCACTACCGGGTTTGAAACCATTGTCCATCCACGATAGCGGAGGACTTTCAAGTTAACGTTGAACACAGCAACAAGTACATATGAAAGCGGTGTCGCCTATTTTGGCCATTCCTAAACAAGGATTGACAGGTACAAAGAACGCGTAAACACGGTCCCATTGATCCTGTCATCGTGGAAGTAGCACCATATTGGTCTAGATACGTTCAAGTCGAGTTACATACAAGGCACCGTGCAAATTATGCCCCGAACTTCTGCTTCTCTTATTCCCTCAGCACCTGGACCGTCGACTCCACTCACAAACTCGTATACTTACCATTCTTCAACACCTACAGCACCGGGGCCATATATCCTTGGTGTTGATGAGGCCGGTCGTGGGCCTGTACTTGGCCCGCTTGTTTACGGTGTTGCCTACTGCCCTGTATCTTGGAAGACCGACTTAGAGCAGCTGGGCTTTGCTGGTAAACATCTCTCAAGTGCTCAACTACATTCTGACATGAGCTGTATCTTCTAGACTCCAAAACACTCACTCCGGAAAAGCGAGCCCAATTGTTAGGTGTGCTTAACTCTGATCCCCAGAATCTCGGATGGTCTGTCCGAGTCATCAGGTACGCACATCCGAAGTCCTATCTTTTGTGAGACTTCTCATGGTGGCTAGCCCACAAGCTATATCAGCTGGGATGTTGAGGATCCCGCCAACAAATCTTAACAAGCAATCCCAAGATGCAACCGTATTGCTCATACGCGACGCTCTTCAGCGTGGACTCCAGTTGTCTGAGGTTAACACGCGTGCTGTGTTTTCGAATGAATACTAAACCATCCTCTGCTTAGGTATACGTGGACGCACTTGGAAACACAACTACTTATGAAGCGTATCTTTCTTCACAATTCCCGGGCATCAATTTCACCGTGACAACGAAAGCAGACTCAAAATTCAAGATTGTGGGAGCAGCCAGTGTGGCGGCAAAGGTGACAAGGGATGCATGCGTCGATGGGTGGACCTTCGAAGAACTAATTGAAGAAGACGAAAATGCAGCAAGGAACGCTGGGAATGAAAACTGGAACAGAGAATTCGGGAGTGGTTATCCATCGGGTTTGTTACTGAGTCGCAGGAAATTCTGCATTCTTGCTTAACGCAGTTACAGATCCAAAGACTCAAATTTGGGTAAAGAACTCACTCGACCCTACTTTCGGTTTTCCGTCGATAGTCCGGTTTTCGTGGACGACTGTTAAAGTCATACTGGAGAAATCTGCTCACCCTGTAAAATGGTAATGATGTTGTCTTTCACTGTCCAATACCCAACTTCATCTGTCCCTTTTCACAGGATTGACGAGGGACAAGAGTCATTAATGAAGGCATTCGAGGGCGGGAAGGGGAGAGAGAAAGACCGGTGCATTGTCACCAAGGACCTTGGAATTCAGAGTATTGGAATGCTATAAAAGCGCTTTGTACAGCATGACACCACATTACTGCATCCCTTCTTTCCAACCTCCCGCAGCCAGTTTTGTTGTTTTTCCGATGACAATAACTGATTCGAATTCTGGAAGCAATGTTCGCTCGGTCACCAGCCAACCTCGCCCGCCCACGAAATGGGGAGGCTGACCATTCCATAAATAATTTAGGTGATGATAAAGCTACATGTCAGCCGCTATGCTGCACAAGTGCTTATATGCCAGCAGCGGTAAGTAGTACTGCTCTTATACCCTTTGCAACCCGACCGCCGAGTCGTTCGCGAACAAGTCCGCCACTGTCCTTACTCGTCAGCACTCGCGAAAATGTCTTCCATTCTGCACACCTTTTCCCTCTTTCTTCGCAAATCCTTGTCATTCGTTACAGGACTGTTCCACTTGTTCTTCGGTCTCTTTACCCGTGGAAGGCGAGCGACTCAGGAAGTCAATACACCAGAAACTGAGGGCCAGAGCTTCTTCACTATCGTTCAACTTGTTTCATCCCAGAAGCCGAAAGGGTTGAAGCCTTTCGTGTTGCCAAAGAATGTCGTCCTGCGGCAGCTTGAAGAAGCCAGATGTAGGACTACCCAAGGCCAAGAGATGGCATCGTCGACGAATTTCAGTGACCCGGAGCTTGGTCGTTGTAATGTCGTCAATCTTCGGGGATCTCCACAACTGTCTCATCCCCCATTCGATCGCCCGGAATTACCTATGCCTTCGTTTTCTCCTCTCTCATCCTATGCATTCCCGAAGCATTGTTCCGATGAATATGTGTTCCGCAGCTCTTGGCCACCTATCTTGGGCACGCAGCTACAGCCCGGCAAGAACTCCCTTCCCTGCGATGCAGACCTCTCAACATCCCTGTCATCTGCTTCCCTCAAAGTATGGACCAGTTCTCCCCAAGGCAAACAATCGCGCTCGCCTACTCATCCGAACTGCTCCTATTCGCCGAGTGCAGGAGAGAATCGGTTCGCTTCTCCATTCGGTGACAGAGGCAGCGCATACTTCGCTCCATACTTCAAGGGTGTCCCTTCTATCGCATCTGCATCTGATCTACTCGACTTCTCGGTCTACGCTAGCTCCCCGCGTGTCAACGTGGATTACTCCTCCGCCATTGATGCTTCCGGTGACATCCAGCCGCCGGAGAAGCTGAGGTTCAAGAGTTCTACTATGATCTACGACCCCGCTATCCGAGAGGTGTTCACGCTACGTCCTAGCTACGGCACACGTACTCCGGGGAGTGGAGGACGCAACTTCCGGAAACTCGTTTCGTCCACACCCTCTTTGTCATCGATCTCATCCGTTTCCAACTGGTCGCCGTCCGGTCTCTTTACAAGTGTGGGTGAACGAACATCTTCCTCTCCTTGCACGACGCACACAAGATCAGTCTCGGCTCTATGTATCTCCGGTTCTTGCGACCTGCCCGGTGCTGAAATTGGCGGGAATCACCCTAGCTCCGTTCCACGAGTCTCTGTCCGGCATGTAGGATTTTCTGCGAAGAAGAGCATCGTTCCAAACACCGTGTCTTGCCCTGACATACCTTATTCTATCGTTCGTGCCACCACTGGTGTGGGTGAAGTTATCATTTCTTAGTACTGTATAGTCGTAGTTGATTGTGACGTGAAGTTTGTATGATCATTTCCCAGACATATCAAGAGTAGCTATATAACATGAGCGGATGTTCGTGAGGACAGTTTGAGTGGACATCAGATATCGTTAGCATAAAAACGTCGAGGGTAGGAAAGCTGGTATACAAGAAAGAAAGAGCAGTTTACAACGCTAGAACCAGCTTTAACCAGGCGTAGAGATAACTGAACCTTAGAACATTGCATCAAGCTTTTCCGTGTCAAATTCTTTCTGTCGGGGCACGAAGAGACAAGGGAAAGGCAATGGATAGCTGAGGGGGTATTAGAATCAGAAATGCACACAAAGAAGAATCTTACGAAGTGATGCCCGCAGTAAACTTCGGATTTACATTAATATCGTTGCCTTGCTCGTCTTTGCATTTCTTGATATCAAAGATAGCAAGGATCGAGACCATCGCAGACCAGATGGATGCATCCGCGATATATCGCCCAACGCCTTTATGATGCCACAATCAGAATCATTCCACGATGAGGCAAATAGAGCTCAGCGAGACTAACAAATTCTGCGACCCGCACCAAATGCAACGTTCACTGTGTCATCATTCAGCTTGCCATCAGCGCCAAAGAAACGCTCGGGTTTAAATTCGTCTGGGCTGGGATACTTGGCTTCGTTGTGTGTGATCGCCCTTTGATAATGATCAGCGGGTAAAACTTTATAATTGGCAAATGCTCACCATGTGTTCGTTATAATTGTAGCCCCTGATGTGTGTCAATCGACAAGCTACAAATTCTCAAAGATGTCGCACCTTGCGGAATGAAGTATCCGTTATAGACATCATCATTCGTGGCAGCGTGGGGGATGCCTGTGTCATTCATATTTAGTCCGTTACTCACAACATATAGTCCGTACGATACATACTTAATGGTACAGCGGGGTGCCACCGGAGAACTTCGCGAAGAACAGCCTCGACATAGGGCAGTGATGCTCTGTCCTCGAAATTCGGCAGCCTGACCGAACCGACCACAGAGTCGATTTCGGCTTGTGCGCGCGCTTGTACTTCCGGGTTTTGTAGCATCGTCAAGATGAAAATAAACATAGTTGACGAGGTCTGAGAGAAAAACTGTTAGCAATATTTTTGTAAGCGCGATAGCCGCGATATGGCTTACTGTCTCCGAGGCAGCTAAGAGGGAGACAAGAATGTGAGGGATCAGCTTGAGATCATAAAATCGCATCAACATACCCGCGAAGGCAGTCACGGCGCTCTCTTTAATTGCCTTGACATACGTTTCAGACGCGTTTTGATCTTCGGCTTTTCTCAAAGAGTCAGCTACCATAGATGGAGATGCTGAGCCTGACGCCTAGTTCACCTCGGATGAGATGGATGACTGGTGGTAAGAGACGCTAGAACCTACCAAATTCTCTTGGACGTACTGAAACGGCGCCTCGATCATCTCCTTGGCATACTTCGTGGATAAGACAGCTGTCCGCTTGAACGAAGCTCCAGGGAACCATGATGGTACGTGCTGCACTGTATGTCTGTGAGACACCAAGTAGGCACAAAAGAGTAAAGAAGCTCACAAAATGGGAATGCGCCAAGGAAAGCAGCAACCTCGGGTTTGATAGAAGACACCGCTAAGTCGACAGCCCTCTCGACAATGGTAATGATGGGGTCGTCCCTTAGGCCAGGTTCGTAACCGTAAACGACGGACATAATAATAGAGACTGAGTGCCTGATCTGCGAAATCAGTATCAAAATAGTACACACTGTACTGATCCTCCTACGTTTGCACATGCGCCCTCCAGTTGACTGGGTCTTCAAGCAAGTTGCTCAACAACTCTCGCGCCTTGCGAAGCTGCATTGATTGATATGTAAAAGCCGCTTCTGGACGAAATGCTTGGTGAAACAACCGTCGGTGGAGCCTCCAACGATCATTATACTTGATCATGACAGAATTAAATGACCAGCCAACACTGCCGTGACTCGGTAAATCTGACAATTGCACACGAGGTTTAAATTGCACATACAAGTCATTCGTCAGGCACAGGATGCCAGGTCTGTCGGAGTAGTTGTTGGAGCGCCTCTCCAATAGGTCCCTGGCGACTTTCTCAGTATTGATCAAAATGATTTCCTGGTTGAGCAGACGGGAGTACACCAATTCGCCTTAGAATAAATCGCGAGGATTAGTTTTGTGTGTACTGCAGAACCATGTCCAATGGCTTACCGTACGTAGCACCCCAGTGTGTGTATGTGATCCAAGGCTCATCAATCTTGAGACCAAGCACGTTACCCACTACTGGGAGCGGCTTGGGACCTGGAGGAAGGGGAAGGCCTCCCGGGTTTCTCTTCTTATGTGACCACCAGCTAAGTAAGCCATATGCTATCGCAGACATGGCAGCAAGAGCTGGAATACGATAGTCCGATGATGTAGACATGAAGATGGCGACCTGAAAAAAGGTGAGGGCCAGAGAAGAAAGAAAAAGAACTCTCGCTCCATGTGCGCCTTGGTAGTCCGGCTAAGTAGGAAAAGATGTGCATGTTGACACCCCGACTTCGAAACCATACAGTTGGTACCATTGTGTGTGCAAGATCTGAGTACTAGTGTATTGACACCATTTCAAATTGCCTCGAGGCCTCGTATTAATCATATACCCGCATATGGGGCGATATGGAACAATTTTTAATCGGTAAGTAAAATATCTCGCAAAATAATTCAAGCAGGTAAATGCAGTGCGCTTCTTAGCTCAGAGGATACAGCTATAAGTATATACGCCTACTGTAATGTAACTAACAATACTAGTACTAGTTATGCAGTACTTGGTGCTAGAGCTTATTCGGTCCCAAGCGCAATCAATGCATGTAATTGATATCTCCTTATGAATACTAACGAGCATCCCTTTTAAGGACTAAAAAATAATAGATACTTATGCTAATCAAATTGAGAACCACCCAAAATTCACACAGATGACTAATGAGGCAGCGCACAGTCGCCCAACATACAGGAACTTCACTGCGTTCTGCCCCTCCAGTACTCTCTTATTATTCATCATTCTAATCCACAACATCAATGGAGGAAAGCATCAGTCTTGAGGAGACGAACAAGATTCGTATCTCTCTCGGTCTCAAGCCTCTCACAGATGATTCTGCACCAGTCGACGACAAAGAGAAGCAAGCAGAAGATAATTATACAAAACAGCGCGAGCGACAGGCGAAAGAGAAGGAAACAAAGTATTTACATGGTTCGTTTCTGAGTATACGACTTGTTCTGATTGACGTCTCTCTTTTCCAGGCAAATATTTGACCGGATAGCGAAGTGAGTTTCAATTCATCTCTTCGGCCTCAGTCAATAATCTCATTTTGCAACCACAGGGTGAGGAACAGACGAGAACTCCATGCTTCCCTCAAGGGTACAACACTTGGTGATCCCGACGGCGATACAGAAGATACCCTGAAGTGGATCAAAAAAGCCAAGAAGCGCGACAAGGAGCTGGCGCAGAAAAGGCAGCAAGAGCTTGAGAACTTGGACAGAGCCTTTCAGGGTGATGAATATACGGAAAGTGCGTGCAGGTCCCGTAACATAAAGAATGACTTGCCTGATGTCTATCCGCAGAGGATTTGGTTGGTCTCAAAGTCAGCCACGACTTTGAAGACCTCGGAGAAGGCGATGCCCGTATTCTCACATTGAAAGATAGCCGCATCCTTGACAATGAAGGTGCGTCCACTGCGAGCCTTACTGTAACACTGCTGTTCCTAATTCTACCCATCCAGAGGATGAACTTCAGAATGTTGAGATGGCCGAAGAAGAACGCACTCGCAAGAATAATGAACTGAAGATTAAAAGACGGGATTACACCGGTTACGATGATGACGAATTCGGAGATGGCAAGGCTGGAATGAAAAGATCAATTCTAGCGAAATATGACGAGGATATTGAAGGTCCTAGGGAAACAGTACGTGTGTCTAACCCACAACGCTCTACCGCAATTAATCATTTGTCTATCTTTCAGGATTTCCGTTTGGGTAATTCTGTTACGTCTACCACCATCAGTGGCATCCAGGCGAAACAAGAACTAGCAAGCATAAATAAGGCTTTACTGTCAATAGATTACGCCAGTCAGTTCTTATCTTTGCTTTGTCCCTTGCCTTTTGTTGATATATCCGGTTTCTAGAAAATCTGGAAACGCGTGATTACCTGCAAGAAGGAGATATAGGTTTCAAGAAGCCGAAAGTAAGCGATATTCAGGTTTTTTGATCATATGATTGATGAAACTTGGCATCCATATTCATTAGACCAAGAAGAAACGTCCATCACGTCGCGCCCCCATTGATGGCGATGAGAATATTATGGAGATTGATGTTGATGAGAAAACGATTGTGCCTAGGCCACGTGAGTTAGACGCCAACTTTGTCGATGACGATGAGCTACAAGCTGCACTTGCTCGGTCCCGAAGAGCGAAGATTCACAAACCCAAGAAGTTATCTCCGGAAGAGATCGCTCGTAAAGGTAAGCCGGGCTGATTTCTTCTGAGCGCTTAAGAGTAACCGTTTTTAGTCGCAGAAGAACGTAACCGAGAGCAATCGAGCCAAGCAGATGATACTTTACAGATGGACGACGCAGAGGATGGCGATGCCAATGGTTTGACATTCGACGATACCTCGGAATTCGTTCGGGCTATCTCATACAACACGACTGTAGTGAAGTCAGAGCCTGCAGAGGAATCAGTAGAGCCCACCCCTGCCAAACAGATATCATTCTCTGACCTTTCAGTGGTTGCAGGCGACGAGGTTCTCGATGAAATTGAAGCTGGTGAGGTTGTTAAGGAAGAGGAGTACGAAGATATGATGGAAGTCATCGCTGAAGCGGAGGCGAAAATTGCCGCAGTAAACGACGACGTCGAGGTCGGGACATCAGGGGAAAAGATGTTTGGCTCTGGTATGGCGGCCACTCTTTCACTTCTTCGGCAGCAGGGTGTATTGGCGATGCCATCGGTAGATCAGACCTCGCGAGAGTCTGTTCAGTTACATAGGGATCGATTCCTCGCTGAATATCGTCATCGACAAACCCAACGCGAAACGGATCGCTTACAGTCTCGCAGTGGTAACAAAGACCAAGCGACTCGAGAATATGAGAATCGACTCCGCGAACAGCAAGAGGCTCGCGCACAGCTGGAGCTATTCAAGGACTACAAGCCTGACGTGGAAATTGTCTATTACGATGAGTATGGCCGTGTGCTAACCCCAAAAGAGTCCTGGAAAGCATTGTCTCACAAATTCCATGGCAAGGGATCCGGGAAGATGAAGACGGAGAAGAGGCTGAAGAAAATTGCGGAGGAGAAGAAGCAAGCTGCTATGGCAAGTGGTGATACCCCCCTTAGCATGAACCGTGCCTTCCAGATCCGTCAGGAGAAAACTGGCCAAGCTCACTTCGTACTGTCTGTTGGTAACAGAGGGTACGTTCATTCTGTGACTGTCCCCTTACTGCCTCTGATTGCAATACGTATAGTGCTGTCCCTCAAGCGTCCGAGTTCTTGGACCCTCAGCCGCTGTCAAAGGGCAAGACTGAAAAGACGAAGAGCAAAAAGAAGGACTCAGGGAAGGCCGGTGCTCCATTGCTTGAATCCACTGGTTTCATGACACTGCCGGCGCCGCATTTGCAGTCTCACCTCAATTCCCAAAGTCCTGCCCCATCTGGATTTTCATCTGTTATGCCTCCTAGTGGATCGAACTCACCCCCAGTTATGAAGCCAGGCTTTTCTCGTATATCGTCAGCTGCAGATACGCCGACACAGACAGGTACTCCTGTGCCGTCAGACCGGACCAAGGTGGCCTTTGGCTTTGGAGCGAAGAGGAAAGCAGAGGACTTTATGGATCTACCTCCCTCCAAGAGACGATGAGTTTAATTAATATTTTGGTGTAATTATTTCCCGCTCTCGTTTATCACTTTCGGAATATATGGCATAGGGTGCCCATAATCTCGTGAACTTCTTCGTTCATGATCGTTTAAATTTGTCCTTGTTTGAACACCCGAAGAGCTTTTCTGTGAGCATGTGTTCGACCCATTAAACAACTCTTTCAGGATACCTCACGGAACGAATTGATGTTGAGATGAACGAGGACACAAGAAGGTAAACAGAATGGCAATCTAGAATCACTGGGTGCGTGGCATCAGTCACGTTCAAGTCCAAGCACTTATTTTTGTTAAAGCAGCGGTTGCAAATGTGCTCCATCGCACTTATGAGAAAGGTGCTACATTGGTGGAGCCAGGACTGTATTAATAAGCCAAAGCCAAGTTTCTCTAGCATATCGTCAGACCAACTCCAGCTTGTGTAAGCTATGGTCCTTATAAGCTTAGGCCTCAAGGCCTCAAGCTTCAAGCCTCATCCAGAGCCTGAGGGCCACATCAACGTTTGTCCAAAGCATGAAGATGCATTAGGTTCCTTTTGCTCTAGCAAGTTTTCTGCTGGGAGATTGATAGTATCAGTTGTCTCCCTAACCAAGAAAAGCTTACCGGGTAAATATTGCAGCTATCTTTATAGACTATGATTTCAAAAATTCACTTAGCCGCTTTTGTTGGTGCTCCATAATGCTAGCTTCTTTTGTAAGTCATTGCAGAGTACTAGTACAATGACTGCCGACCATCATCATCATGCACGCAAACCGTCGACATGAATCAGATGCTTGCGAAACGTTGGCAGTAGGTTGCCATGTCCATACGCAGCATGACGTCTTTTGACAACGTCCCTAGTATCTTGCACGGCGAGGGCTTCGTCTCGTCACTACGTTTGTACCGCTCCGCGCAAGTGCCACAAGTCTGATCGTACGACTTACAAAAGAAGCTAGCATTATGGCGCGCCAACAAAAGTGAATTTTTGAAATTATGGGGTACAAACATGAAAGGAGCTCGAGTGGAGCGCGCACATGGTGTCAACACGAATTGGTTCTGCGGGATAAAATCGCTGCGTTATGTAGATGAAAATAGTGCAGTGTACATATCTTGAGGCTCCATGATGCGGCCACCAACTTGAATAGGTGAATCGAGATACAACCAAATTGTGCTCCCAACAGCTCAGCGCTCATGCAGTGCCCATTCTGCATGCTATGATGAGTACAAACAATGCCTACAACAGGTATTACGTTTCAAAAGCTGTGGTTTGGCTTGAAGGACCACATGTATACTAACCACGCTGGCCATGATTAATTGATTCCCGGACCCAATGAGCTTTAAGCCAGAGCAGCGTCTATCAACTACAGAACTTCTGGAAGGTATCACATCACCCTACTTGGATTTTGGACGGCGAGCTGCGCTTAGTTTTTTTTGGCCAATACTGGGATGTTCAAGGTGTCAAACAGATGAAAGTGTCCCAGTCTGTATATAGCAGATCAGAGCATTTGGGCCACTGACGTTCCGCATTGGAAAAGGGAAGGACTCGGCCGGATATGAAATCGATATGTTTGAATGCTCGATTGAACTTCGAAGGCGGCCCCACCACGACGTCAAACCCACGCGAAGAACGGAAGCGACACAACAATGTAGATTGAGTGGAGATTGACCACGATAAATATGTGCAAGCTTGCTAGTGTTGAATAGTGTAAATACATAATGCAATGTAATAAGGTGAAGCTCTAGGTCAATCCGATCAACACGAATGACGTCTGAATTTAGAACAGCACCCACAAATCGTAAAGATTCCTGCTCAATGAGGACCAGGGATCTTGATCGCCTATGAATGAGGTGCTGGTATCTGATCTTCAACATGAGATGATCCAAAAACCATTTGCCAGAGTTCGGGGCCATCCCGTATCAGAGCCTGAAACAGGAGTGCATAAGATGAGGCAAAATTAAAATAACCGTTGGAGTACATACGATGACAACTTCCACAGCAATAAGGGCGATGATCACAAGTTCCATCCGATGAGTAGATGACTAACAGAAAAGTTAGTATGCGCCCATAATCTTTGACGTGAGATAATGTACCTCCGTAAGTAGCTGACGGAGAGTTGACTGCACCTGAGTTGGATAATTAGTTACATGTATCGTGTTACCTTAAGCGTCTCACCTCTGTGGCATAGGTGATTTTCTCATTGACCGCGTTGGTTCTTGCCTTCACTTCGAGAGCCGCCGTCATCGATTTGAAGAAACCTTTCAGATTAAGTTAGATCGACGTGGACTGACGACCATTATGCCAACCTTCTAATTCAGGCTCAGTCCAGTACAAGTCTGGGGTATCAGAGAAGTTCTCCCTGTTGAGGTTAAGGCCCTGGCGAAACTTCATAAGCGCTCCGAGCTTCTTGATAAGGGCTTCCCTGCTCAGACCAGGCTTTCCCGTCTTCTCGAGGGAGTGCGGGAGAAGTGCTACGGAGGAGAGATAGTCCTCAAGCGATTCTTCGAGACCTGAAAGAGCTGTAGAACGTGATAGTGCTTGGGAGAATGTATATCGTGCCAGAAGGGTATCTGCGGGGAGTGCAGGGGAAACTGGCGGTACGGCAGGGGCGTTTTCAGGGTACTCGAGTGGTGCTACACGTCCAAGTATGATTAAATCTCCTTGTATCCGAGTTTTCCTGACAAAGGACTTTTCGTGAGTAAATTTGGCTGGAGCAGTTGAACTGAGTACCCACTCTGTTGGATCTGTCACAAATTCCAGTTCCTCTGTCTCTGGATCCTTTAACCGGCCAACCTCACTAGGGGCAAGGACTTCTCGTGCAAATCGTCGCGCTTCTCCCTCTCCAAGACCCCAGCACACAAAACTTCCATTTGAGAACACAAAAATCTCGCCCCCGTCACCCCATTGTGGAACCCACCAGGAATCATGAAGTGTCTGAGCATCCGGAAGACGAGAACGTAGTCTTGACAATAGGTATCGTTCTGCTGTTGCAAGAGTGATCACAGGCTTGATAGAACTTCTAGTAGGTGTCGGGTTGGAGCGAATGGGTATTGACGCAGACGCACTACGACGAAGTGGTGTGCTTGCTTTTGGCTTGTGCTTTGGTGTATCCGAAGGCTCCGCATCTACAGAAGCTGAGAAAGCACGGGTATAGAGGAACCAACGGTTACGATGTACTGCTGCAGACGCAAGACTAGTATGATTAGAGTATGAGCGCAAGTTTGTTCGAAAACTAGCAGTCCTGAGTTCCCTGCAGAAACCGTTCATGGAGGGATGGAAAGACCCAAAAACTGAAGCTTTAAGCTATAGATGAGTTACTGTTGGAAGAAAGCCGATCGGACGCGTCAACTATAGCCGAGCTATTTGACAAGCCATTATGTAATATTCACTCGGGAGATCATTTGTTCGTTGCAATAGTCTCAAAGAGGATTGCAGCAAGTTTGCTTTAACAGAAAACAATGGGGGTCTGTCCCCAACGCTATAAGAAAAGCTAAGAAGCGGCAACGGCGGTATATCAGCAGTGTTAGGATAATATACAACCAATGCTATATAACATAGATTTCTGACGGCTATACTTTATCGATGCATCAACGTTAATAGTCATGCCAGATTAAGTATGCATAGCTATAGGGTTCGTGTGGGTTTAAGTTAAACTGCACGCATACAAGATTTAACATTCGACGTACTTAGTACTTCAGCTAAATAGTACATGAAAACATTGAAAAGGCTTGTCAATCAGGCCGTATGATCATTCAAGTGGTAAGTGTGACCATTACCCTTGCATTATCGAAGGGCAGAGATAATAGTTATGTGTCGGATTTGCTGTTGACAAGGTGCTTGAAGGTATCCGGAAGGTGTATTCCGTTGCGTCCGAACGAGTACTGGTATGTAAGTATGCCATAGAATAGATATACAAAGGAGTACGAGGAACACTTGCTATGCTCTGTGAAAATTGGACATAAATCACGAGCTCTTTCCTGGTTGTGCATTGCGAATTTCTGCACGCGGTGCCATCTCATAATCTCCGAACCCAAGAGAATTCTGAACGTCTTTGTCACTTGCATCTGGCTCAAGATGACCTTGAGCGTTACGACGGGCTCTATATAATCAGTATTTGAGGTTGGTAGATTTGACGGGTAACAGAGACACGCACTTGAAGAACGTATACGACAGAACAACGTCATCAATGCCCCTACATGCAGGGTCGTCGAGAATGTCTTTATCTATGAAAAAAAGGAGCGGCATATCGACTTCCTCTCCTGCAAGTAATTTCTGCTCCTCAAAGCAGAAGCACTCTACTTTCGAAAAGTACGGTGCAATCTACACACCACCAAACATCAATAGCTGCTGACATCCGACATCCAGTGCGGTACCCACTCGGTCAGGCGTGACATTGTACGTTGCAATTCCAATTATGTCATTTTTACTCTCATTCTTGGCCTTATAAAAAGCAAGACTGGTTTCTCCGGGAAGGACTGTCACGAACTTCTGTTGCGGAGTAAAAGCCCACGGTAGCGCTTCAGCACGGTCAGCATTGAAATGAACCTTGATGCGACGTGCTCCGTCAACAGGAACCAGGCGCCCAGGTTCGAATCGGCCTGTACCAACATTTGGAGTGCCAGCAAAGCCAGTGGCTGCGCAGAACATCCGGTAGAGCGGAACTGCAGCATAAGTTACCCCTACTGCGAAGACAATCTGTCAAGATAGAATGAAAACATATGGGAAATAAGACAGCGAAAGCATACGACGGCAGAGGAATACATCAGCAGATTGCGATTCCGGGCGGCGTACAATGACTGTCGGGATGCATATGGTGGAGGACGTGATTTAGCATTCAAAGGCGTCCTGGGATGGGAATTGGTGGCCATTTTCCGCCAAAGTATGGAGCGTGATGTCGACCATGAGCATGGACTTTTACCAAGATGGGTCAAGAAATGAGTGCTGTTGACAGTATGCAATGAACGGCTCAATGAACGACATCGAAAGAACGCGTCCAGGTAGTGATGAGTCGTCTATGAAAAAGTTAGCGTGACGAGGATGATTGATCTGAAAATGCACTCACAGACTGAGACGCACGGCCTGCCTTCAAGAGAGGCACACACAGCTTGAAGGACATCGCCGTCAATGACGAGCAAGACATTTCTGCTGCCGACTTCAAGTGGCAAGCACGTGACTTTTCTGTGAGGCCTACCACTGGCTTCAAATCGCCCACGACGACGACGACGACAACGACATGTCGACAGGAACATCAACACCTTCTAGTTCAAAGACACCCATTTCGACAAGCGATACGGATATAGAGCAGCTTCTCTCTCGGGAAGCATCTGCCTTCCAGCGTGAGCTTGAGGTCGAGCGGATTCTCAAGGCGTTCAAGCTCAAGTACGTAGTTACATGTTGCGTTTGATCAGTCATTTAGCATCATGACCTAGCCCATATGATATTCTCGACATAGACGAGTCTTCAAAGCCCGAAGGAATAAAGCGCAGATACCGGCAGCTGTCTCTCTGTGAGCGATCTCGCTTCACCCATCATCTAATTCATAGAATAATAGCTGACGGTTTTACGCCTCCATAATCATGGTTGTTCGTTTGGTGATTCTGCTCGACCTTGAACTCGGCTTCACTTCATGTCTGGTCGATTTTGTGCATGCGTACGTTGTTCCGTAACAAGTCATCCATCCTGACAAGACCCCCCACGCTCGTGCTCCAGATGCATTCGACCTTCTCAAGAAGGTGCGTTTTTCTCCCTCTAATGTTTCCCTCCCCATGCTTCTAATTCTTCCATTGAGTTCATTTCTGTGTCATCTTCCGTTACCCACAACACCCTTACTTCAACGGAAGTTTCCATATTCACTTTCCTCGCATATAATTTGGTTTGCCGTATACATATGAATCCAAATTCTCACTCTTGACTCAGGCTGAATCCGAGCTATCCGACACTGCCAAACGCGAAGCTCTCGACGCCACAATTGCAGAGGCGCGCCTACAGCTCCTCCGCAGTCACGGTTTCTCTACGAGCACGCAGGACGATGATCCGAAACTTCGAGGACTAGTCCCGCCATTTAAGGCGCAGTTGCGAGCAAAGGTGAAGGACTTGTTAATTGAGGAAGAGGTTAGACGCAGGAAGTGAGGCACTCGTCTTTGCTGTTGAGCTTATTGCAGTCCTAATGATTCGGTTTTCTTGTAGAGCGATCAAGATGAACCTTGCGAATGAGGGACTGGAAGCTCGGAAAAAGGAGGAAGAAGTTGCTACAAGAAAACGTAAAGCGGAGGACGATAAAACATGGGAAGGTGCGTTCTGCGATTTCTTTGGTCACTACCACTTTCATGAATCATCGTCTATAACCTGCTTATAGAGTCCCGTGAAACCCGTGTTGATTCATGGCGGTCATTCAACAATACCGCAAAGAAGAAGAAAAAGACGAAGGTTCAGATCCTCGGATGATTCTCCGAACCACCTACATACTGGACACTCCCCAAGGAAACCCCGACGCCCTGCCATCGAACCTCATTCATCCGCGTGCGTTTGAACGTTAATATGAACACTGTCTTTTCTTGTAACCCATAGTTCTTGCCCATGTAAGAGATCTGCTATACCACAAGGACATGCTTCCTGTGCCTGACCATTCTTATACACGCGTGTGTTCAAAAACGACACGTCCAATTCATCGCACATAATCGCAAAAGGAAGCACAGGTAGACTTGCGCATATCCACTTGGTAATAAGGCTGCAGACAACTAAACTCTTCCATCTATTCAATAAGGAGAAACAATTTGCGTCTTGCCAGGGCCCTCGCGGATCTTTTATCTGCGCAGCGAGGCTCTGATTTGTGGTGATCAGCTCGAAACTCTCGAAACAGGCATCATAACTGCCAATATCGCGAGCTGCAAGCATCACTCATTTCCTCCAGACTTGGTCATCTTTGTGGGATAAAGCAGTATAGAGGTAGAAACGGAATCAGTGAAAGATCCACTTTACAAGGTGCAGTTTCCCATGACAGGGTGGTCAATGGATTGTGGATACAAGTATCGCGGTTAATTTGAGTGAGTACACGTACATCGATGCCAAAGGGCATATGTAGTCGATAATCTAATCATAGCTAGGATCGACAAACCTGGCATGTACTTCAATTTCAATGTCTCGCGTCTTGACTAGACCTCCACGAACCTGAAACATGGCTGTAAAAATGCGATGAATAGATGATTAGCCACCAGCTAGGATTCTTTGAATATATGATCATATTCAAGGGATGGGTATAAGTGAGCTTAGTGGGTATATTACTGAGATCGGCATGGCGGAAATGAACATTGAAGTGCTACATACAGTATGAGGATTTACTGGTTCCCTTGTCCTTGGCAGTCGGACGAGCTATCACTACATTAATCTCCATTTCCTCAAATTGACTGCTATGTTCGTGTTTACAATCTCACCACTGACCACCTCATCATGAAGAATTCCACCTCGTGAATCGTAACTTCCAATAATTCCGTTTCTACCTTGACGCTGCCTTTCTTGAATACCTCTCCATCCCATAAAGATGACCAAGTTTTGGGAGAATGAGCGAACAACTGATGCAAACTGCCCGATATGTTGGCACTAACCATGCCTTTTTCGAGATTTCCAACCTGAGAACCGCAGATAACGGAACCTGGCTGCGCAGATAACAGGCCCGCGAGAGCCCTGGCAAGATGCAATTGTTTGTCCTCAGTGAAGAGATGGAAAAGCCTTGTAGCACTGATTGCGCTAATGCGGCCATGAAGGGGGTTGAGGGATTTCAACGAGAATAAATCGATAGCCGGGGCCGAAGAGACATCGTTCTGACGCGCAGCTATGGAAAGAAATTCTGGATCGAACACATCTCCGGGAAGGAGGCATCCCGGGTAAGAAGTTGGTGTCGTTCTGAAAAGTTCATGGCCAAGCTCGAGAAATTCTGTATATGCATGCATCCGAGTCGTTAGCAGTAATGTTTCACGGACAAGATGAATTACCATTGATGATATCCGAAGCAATGATATTTTTCGCAGGAAAACCATCCGCCGCAGCCTTTCTGCCATCAACACCGACTAAAATGGAGTCAAGCTTCAGTACCCAACAAAGTAAATCGTAATTTGACGTACAGCAACAGCCAAGGTCGAGTAACACGGCATCGGGGCGCTCACGACCAAGCTTCAGGATGTGCTCATACACAGGGTAACTCGATATGTTAAGGCTGAACACGGTCCCCTTATCATGAATCGACTTGATTATAGCTCACGTACCGAAGAAAGACAAATCCGTGAATACAAGGATACGGTGCAATCTTTCAACAGCAGAAGGTTATTCAACTTATGGTGAGGTCGAGTCTATAAGTAACTCACCTTGTATGCTTTCGCCTGCACCTCCAGGATATGCCTCTTCAAGCCTTCGTCATCGCCGATGCCGATTTCCGCCTTAAAGAACGCAGCTTCTTCGGAAGACAAATCGTAAAGGCTGGTGTCTATTGTTGGCAGTGATGCGAACTGGAATGTTACGTCGCCCAACAACGTCGTACAGTTATCGTGTATAGTAGTAGTACCCTCCATCGTGATGGGATGTAACGTGTGCTACCATAGCATCATTTCAAGGTGAAGTACTGACTCCGAGCGTCCCCCAGGGAGGTGTGACTAACAATTATCGATTTTTGATTGGCTGATACACTCCTTGATATGGGCCTAAGTGTAAGCTCGTTGCTTACAAAAAAAAAACTTTCATAACGTTCCTGTATGGCCATGTGGTCAATTATTCATCGTTCAACGTTCAATCTTGTCCGTCGTACTCACGCGTCACGATCCATCATACAATACCTGCCCGGTAGAGTCCCGTGGAACCCTTATTGATTCATGACCGCCACTCTCAAATAACATGAAGAAGAAAACCTAGACTCTTGAATGATGTTCTGAAACATAGTTGTTGTAGGGATCCAGGTCTCCGTGGGCCCATCCAAGATGCAGGTGGAACAATTAGTAGGGAAACCTGCCTTGCCATCGAACCTCATCCGTATATGTTCGGGCATCCCATTCTCTTTTGTTACTCATAGCCTCTGACAAATTTAAATGTGAGAGATCCACTACGCCATAAACAGATACTTCCAGTCGCCGACGCAGGCGCCAGGTCTTAATCCCTGTGCGCACTTGCTTGCGCTTATTCACCTGACAAACAATGCTGTAGATGCTACCTCTGATTTTTAGCGAGCAATATCCAGTGCATTGTCAAGGACGAGTGTGGCCCTGGCACAACCTGACCTAATCCGATGTCCATCGGTACGGTGAGCAAACCAACTACCGATAGCACTAGTGCTTAAACGTTTTAGTCAGGGCAACCTCACCATGAAGCTACTAGTAGTTCTCTGTTCTGGCGTGCACTTACCATCAAGGGCAGTTCTCGACTGATAGTAGACTTTACTTACGTGCTGTAGCGGCATGTAACATTGCCTCCGGTGACTCATTTCTTGATCACATCTTGGTGTTTCGGAGCCCTAACGTGAGAGTCGGGGATGCTGCGTCAATTACCATGACGAAGACTGTTTCACTCGTTATGCAAGTCACTGTGATTATGTGCTCAATTGTCTAGCTTCACATAGCCTCATTAGCTGACGTGATGAGCATCTTACAACATTGATGTCTGTAGACGCCTCAGCGGAGAGTCGTTCTGTTAAATATAAAGGGGGTGCAATACTGTCTCAGGACAAATTGGACCTCTTCAGAAGAAGCTTCAAGATGGAAGGCGCTACTATTCACGGGGACTCTACGATGACGTTGGGCGACATAACATTTCAGACCGCGTCAGTCCCAACAGTAGACACCAGTTTCTACAAGCTGTCTCCCGCACAAGCTGCATTCTTCAAGACACAAACCGGTATTGATGATGATGAAGACTTGAAAAGGCATATCCTAGAAGTTCAGGCGAAAGCATACAAGGCGAGTCATTCCCAAAAGACTTCGTAATAAGTCTAATAATCATCTACCACTGATAGGCTGCACCATATCCTTGTATCCATAGATTTGGCTTCCTTCGGTATGTTTTCGGTAGATCTGCATATCATGGAAATTGAACACTCCTCAGCTTAAACTTGTCACATTTTTCTGTGTATGAACACATCCTTAAGCTTGGTCGCGAGCGCTCCGATGCTGTATTACTCGACATTGGTTGTTGCTGTATGTCAAATCATTATGTACTGTCCTGAATCATATTGACTTTTTTTAGTCGGCGTTGACGCTAGAAAGGCCGCGGCAGACGGGTTTCCTGCCAAAAATATCATTGCGTCGGATGTCGTCGAAGGTAATACAGTTTTCCTGTGAACTATCATTCCTGCTGACGATGTGTACGTGCAGAGTTTCTTCAACTGAGTCACGAACTTTTCAAAACGACACCAGCTTCTTACCCAGGATCTCTCCTTCCTGGAGATATCTTCGATCCAGAATTCCTCTCCATAGTTACGCCATCGGTCGACGTCTTTCCGGCGCCAGCTATTGATTTGTCCTCATTGAAATCCCTCAGCCCCCTTCATGGTCGCGTTAGCGCAATAAACGCTATTGCATTCTTCCACCTCTTCAACGAAGAGAAACAATTGTACATTGCCAGGGCTCTTGCGGGTCTTCTGTCTGCTCAGCCAGGCTCCGTAATTTGCGGCTGCGACAACGGAGCTGTTGAAAAGGGCACCATAACTAACAATTTATCAGGTGTCGAGTATCGGGGGTTTGCTCATTCTCCCGAGTCTTGGTCATCTTTGTGGGATGGTGAGGTTTTCGAGAAGGGGACTGTCAAGGTGGAAACGGAGTTGGCAGAAGTTCCAATCGATGATAAGGGACACTTGGTGATGATGATGGTGTGGTCAGTGACGAGACTGTAGATGTGTATAACAGCGGGAAGCATCCGAGGTGCAAGAGACAATCTCCACCTCTACTTGTAACCCTTCCGTCTCCCGGTGAACCTGATCGTACAATAAGCTGACATTGAGTGTGTCTAAGAAATTGAAATGGTTCTTGAAATCAAGTGGTAACATAATTGACCAAGGAACAGCACATGCACACAACTAAGAAGTTGCTTGATCAAAAAAATCTAATCAGAAATCACAATTATATCCTCATCGACTACCACCCGCGTCCGTGTTGGAACATTCTCTTTTCCATCGTCCGAGTCGTCCACATACATACTATCATCTGATTCGACGTCAATGACATCTTGCTGCAACGTGGATGCAGTATATTGACGTCGCGCGGAAGCAGGGCCCGGTACCCTACGCCGGGTGGAGCTTGTGGGCTGGCGTTGGACCGATGCTGGACCGATTCGAGGACGTGATGTCGTTGTGCTGACGGCTGGGATTGCGGACGGTCGAGATGAGCCAGATACCGTCGTCATTCCTTGGGCACCTTGATGGCGTGGACCCGTCGCCCGCGAAGCATTCATTTGACGCATGTCTCGTATATCAGAACCTAAGCCTTTCGTGCCTGGTGACTTAGAAACTGTCGCTAATGCTTCTGCCTCTATTTTCTCCGCTTGGGCAATCAGTTCATCATCGATGTCTAGGTCCATCAAATCTAAATCGTAATCTGAGGGTGGTGACGGGGCACGGGGTGGTGACGCAGGTTTTGCGGATGGAACATTTCGCTTTGAAGGCAGCTTGGATATGGGTTTTGGAGGTGAGATAGGCGCTGATCCGACCTCAGTTATGAAAGCCTCGAATTCCTCGTCATCCAAGCTCCACGTGGCATCCCGTGGCGCGGGGGAAAGGATCCGAGCCCGTGCCAGTGGGGCAGAGGGATTATCTCGTGGATTAGATCTGTCCGAGGTTGATGACGAAGGGACTGATGTGTACAGTGTAGAAGATGTAGAAAAGTATGGCGAGGTGGTCGACGCAAGATTACCTGGAGCAGAGGGAGGCTTGAGCGAAGAGGTTGGTTTAGAGGATGAGACAAGGGTAGACGAGGTAGAAGGAGGAATAGAGTTCGACTTCGAGGCTGCTCGTGCTAAGCTTGTTTTCTGCGCTGCAGTAGATAAGGCTTTCAATCGAACTGCTGGGGTTGCGGCATTGGTCGATGTTGAACCTTCGGGTGGATTACCAACAAGCCGTCTGTTAGCAATAGGAGGAGATGGAACACTAGGAAGTGGGGGTGCCTGCGGCGGAGCCTCGGCTTCACCAGGAGGTTGTGGATTGGGTTCTGGGTCGGGTTGTCTAAGGGGTCTCAATTAATTTGATGATTATTTGAACGCAGGGAACTCACCCAAGCCTCCGTCTTAGGCTGCGCAGAAATATTTCATCCTGCATTACCTCATGGTCCTCTGTTTGATGTCCTTTCAGCTCAATCGTCTGGGGTTCAAGGAAGATAACGCCTCTACGAATATGTACGTCCTTCAAGAGGATCTAACAGCCGGATTCTATTAAAACGACACAAAGTGACTGACCAACACGCACCTTGTACCCCAGCGGAGTGACGCCAAGTTCAAGCTGTGGTATAGCACGATATTCCACAGCCTCGACAGTTGTGAAACCATCGCTTAACTCGAGACGCAGCATACCCCTCGGATACTTTGGGACTGGGCCCTCGTCCTCTTCTGCGTCCTCTTCATCCTCCCTAACAAGGCCAGCCAAGTCCGCTCGATCCATGCGATTTTGCCTCACGTTCATCAAGCTGAAAGCACTAATGCCAATGTCGCTGATGGCACGAATCTCTACAAGACACGGATGACCTGTAAGACGAGCCCTTTTGATAGTACGGATATTTTGTGGGAGGCCAGTGTTCGGTAGGGTGGAGTCTGCGAAGCTGGACTGTAAAAATTGAGAAGTTACATGGGAACTAAACTGTGGAAAGTCAGTTGGAGAAAGGGAGTATGAGGACGCGATCCACGAGCAACAGTCACGAAGCCAAACCTGTGGGTGAGTAAATATCATAAATGCAAACCATCAATTAGAATTTTACTGGATCTAAAGCTGGACGTGGATACTGTTCGTTGACCCATTTAAGTATGTTTGCAGGTGCAGCGGGTTCAGTCATCGAAGAAAGCAAAGGCGCGTCACGACGTCGCGTGTGTCACACCATTTTATGATTTAAGTCACGTGCATCATTTACTCACCACCGTGAACTGGCATGATCTCAGGCGGTCGCATAATACTCCCATACTGCCTGAGGGTACCCCAGAGTTCCCTGTTCATCCTCTCGTCGAGGTGTGCTGGGTTGAGCACCATGGCAAAGTTGCCGCGTTTGCCCGTGCCAGACCTTCGCAAGACGTTAGACCGTTACTTGCAGTCTATTCAGCCCTTCTTACGCGAAGATGAAGCACGCGGTCACTCTCTCTTTAAATCCAGCTACAAGAAACGTGTTCAATGGGTAAATGACTTTGAGAAAGGTATCGGCCGCCTTTGCCAGCATAAACTCCACGGTATATCCTTCCGTTAATATAAAAAAATTCAATTCAACCAACCATGTCCGCAGAATTAGACGCTCGTTCGCCACATAACTGGCTAGACGATAATATTTGGACGAACTATGCCTACCTCTCATGGCGTGTCCCGCTCCTCATCAATTCTAACTGGTGGCTTACACTCATTAATGATCACTCCATACCCGAGTCTATCTTGCGCGGTGACACGAAATCAGGTATAGAGCCCTGGCAGGTGCGCCGGGCCGCGTGCATATTGCATCGTGTTCTCGACTGGCGCGCTCGCATGGTTAACCAGCATCCAGACCCTGATACAACCCGTACTGGTGTCTGGCTCCTCACTAATACGGAGAAGATGTTCAACACATGTCGTTTACCAAGAGCTGGAGCAGATGTTCTTGCAACCAGGAATCCGGCATCCGAGTATGCCCAGGATATTATGCTCATGTTACATGATTTTGTGTATACCGTAAGGGTCTGTGAGGATGATCGGACACCATTGCCTGTACAGATCATTGAGGATCGAATACGTGCGGTAGTACTAGATGTAATTCATAGAATGAAGTCTGGGGAAAGCGCCGTGCCAGTCGGTGTCTTGACCTCGGATGACAGAGACCGTTGGGCAGAGGTCAGTATGTTTTTCGACTCTTGTTGTCTTGCTCGTCTCGTTACTAACCAACACCACTTCCGTAGAACTATCAACATTTGCTCTCCCTTTCGCCCACAAATGCCTCGACCTTCCGTGCTATCAACGAATCAATAATGGCTCTTTCCCTCGACCATTACACTGCCATGCCATCACATCACCCAACCCCTACCTTGCCAAGTTCTTCCCAATCATCTCACGCAAGCATCCCGGTATTAGACTCCGACGCAGAAATCCACGCACACCTCTACAATACCCGCTCCCCTCCCCGAGCTCGGAACAGATTCTTCGACAAATGCCTGACCCTATCACTAGAGCGCAATACCCGTGCTGGCGTAATGGGTGAGCACGCACCTGTTGATGCCTTAGTGCCTAGCATCGTCTTTGATTACGGTGTCGTTGCTGGTATCGACTTTTCTGCATTCTCGGAACCTGTTCCGCGTCCTCTTGTTTTAGAAGAGGCTCGTGCGAGTGATAGTGGAAAAGGATGGTCCCGTTTAGACTGGGTGACCGACGAGCGGATCAAAGCTCAGATAAAAGAAGCGGAAGGACGGGCTCAGGCCTCGATCAATAACTCCGAAGCAGGGATTTTGGAATTCGGAGAATATGGAGCAGATTGGATAAGTAGTGTTGGTGAGTTTGGTGACTCCCTGTCGATTTTCTGGCGTGTTGCCTCTTTTATTTATTTTGCGGGTCAATATTTCCCTCCTCTCCCATCCCCCTCTTTCTTTTGTTGCAAAGGTCATTAATCACCTCACTATTAGCACACCTTCCACCAGACGCCTACACTCAACTTGCACTCCAACTCGCCTGGTACCGCTCCCGTGGAGTCCTCACAGCGACCTACGAAACGGCCCTTACGCGAATGTTCAATGCCGGCCGTACAGAGTGCGTGAGGAGTGCAAGTGTGGAGGGATTAGAATTTGTTCTGGCTGCTAAGGGATGGGGACGTGGAGCGGAGTGTGTGGCAGAGGGGGGCCAACACGAAGTGGAGGTGAATTTGTTTTTATACCCTCATAGTGACGACGGCAACTTATGGTTTTTGATACACTAATCTGATCAGCCCCGTGCACTTCTTTCCCTCCTCCAACAGGCTATCCAGACGCATGCAAGGCGCACGAGGGAAGCCGCTATAGGTCGTGGAATCGACAGGCACTTATTAGGCCTGAAGTTGATGCTAGAAGAACTCCCTGTAGATGCGATCACATCTACTTCCTCCTCGGACTCTCCCTCGAAATCAGGCCCCACTGACCCCCCGCAAAAACGTACGCACCCTCTCTTCGCCGACCCTCTTTTCTCTCGCTCTCAGGAGTGGAAACTTAGCACTAGTGGCTTGAGCGCCGGTGACCAATTCCGGGGCACTGGCTTTGGAGCTGGTTGGGAGGATGGTTATGGGATTAACTGTAAGTTTGATTCGTTTATTTCACAATTGTTTTGCGGGATTGCCGAACCTCGGTGAGGGATTCTTTGTCTGTAATAGTTTCCCATCTGCATTTGTTATTGTCGCCGACATCACCATCGGTTGACTAGGTCGACTGAAGGTGTTTCGTTTCCGAATATAATTGGCAATTCCGTTCACGCTCACCCTTGCCACAAAACCAAGCTCATATTCTGTTGTCTCACAGATCTCATAGCACCCAATCGCATCAAATTCTGTGTCGAGTCCAAATTCTCATCCCCGCTCACCTCCACGAATAAGTTCAAGCAACATATCGCAGATGCGCTCCAGGATATGCGGGCGATTTGCGAGGCTGGAGAGCTCGGGTTGAAAGACCAAAAGAAGAAATTGGATGGGGCAGACACGCGAGTACAGGCGCGGTTATAGGCCTGGTGGCGTCGACCAAGGTTTGTGCCTTAGCTCGTTGAACACGAGGATCCGACACTGATGGAGAGATCATCAGTAGAAGCCTGGATACTCAATCAAGAATTCTACATGGTTACCGGCGATCGACCTCGCTCGTCTGCCCAACTTGTGTTCGCGATCGCGAGGTCCAAACTCCACCAAATTAGCCTACTCTTGTTTGCACAAAACTAAACTATACCTATGTATCGCTCACCATACAATACCCCACTCAGACGCAATTGAAATGAGAAACTTTATTCCAAGAAAAAGAAAAAAAAATGTGTCCCTTATAAGGAGTATTGACCGCGCGAGCTATTGTACAAACCAACTATGTATCATACAACTAACCATCATTGCGGAAGTGAATTCTGGTTGAGGCCGTCAACAACTAGCACCTTCGCGGGCCCATCTACAACGCAATCTTTTCCAAGTCATTCTTCTCGATCCACTCGTGTTCATAATACTCCAACAAGCTGCCCACGAGTGACTCACACCCTGCCCGCTTCATGAATTTCTGACTAGTGCAGATGATCATGCCTTTCTTGCATCGAGTAAGCATGACATTAGTCCGGCGCAAGTCGGCGAGGAATCCGAGCGCCGTGGACCGCACGAGTGAGATTACGATATAGTCTTCTTCATTACCTGCCACGAACGAACCATAAATATGATGTTACAAATACATGTTGCGAGAACGAACCTTGAAACGAATCAACGTTGAAACATTTATCTTCCCATTCAAGCTCATTGAGCTTCAAACGCTCCTCGATCCAACTCCGCTGAGCGTCGTACGGGGTGATGATGCGGAATTGCTTATTCTTTGCTTGCAGCATGGTAGCAATATGGATAATGGTTTGGCACTCCTCAAGGTTCTGCGCACGACATTAGCCAACTGCGTGTAACCGAATTCAAGTGACTTACCTTCCAACTAGTTCCATGTAATTGTTCCTGGCTGGGAATGTTGATGAAGTGACAAGCCATCCTCTCGTTCGTGACAGTATGTTGCGCATTCGACTCGAGTAAACCATCATACACAGCTTCAGATATGAACTGTCCAATTTGAGGCGGCATCCTGTCTACAATAAAATGATAAAAATTGGGATACGGGAACATTAGGTAAAAGACTTACATTGGGTATCCAGGAAAATGGCACGGTCCTTGAGATGCTTGACCTCGAAGATACTCTTGAGGTCCTGGATATTATCCTGACCATAGGGTGGCACTGAAGATATCAGAACATGTGATAGTACGCAGAAGAAAGACTCACATTGTTTGTCATCACCAATGAAGCAAACCTTTCTGATGGTGGTGTGAGAGGTAAAGAGAGGTATGTAGTCACCGATCTCAATTTGGGATGCTTCGTCAATGACGAGGGTCCTGAGTGGCGCGGCTTTAAAACCTCCAACCATGCGAAGAGCAAAAGATGAAAGCATTGATAGGGTACAGAGAATGACCGGGCTGTTCCGGAGCTCCTGACAGAAATTTGGAGCTTTGAAGTCCTCCGATATGATTATATTAGCCCGAATGTTGGCATAGAGGTGCTCGTGCCTAGATTGTGTCAGTCTGCCTAAAGGGGAAAAAGTCCGCTAGCGAAAGAACTGACCAGTACTCAAAAAAATCCTTTGAGACGAGAAGCTTCCATTTGGTCAGGCCAATGTCAGCGAGTTTCTCGGCAATGTTTTTGACGGCAACATTGGATTGTGCAATGAGCCAGATGCCAGAGAGTCCACCGGCAAGGGCGGTCTGAACAAATGAAGCAATGACAGTGGTCTTACCGGTTCCAGGGGGCCCCTGGATGACAGTGAGACGCTTGTCATTTGACTGCTGAAGCATTTGCTTCACAGCTTTCGTCTGGGATGGATTGAGGGGGCGACTGACACGGTCGGCACGGTATCTGACAATATCCGCATCGTTCGCCTCCTCCGTCCAGGCGGAGGGCCATTGGAAGTCATCCCTTGGAGAGGAAAAGAATATGAGCTGAACCCATGGGTTGTCGTGCTCGAGGTTGATGAGACCTTGGAGGATCTCTAGAACCTTTTGAGCACGCTGGCTCTCAGCCTGAGTAGGGTCTTCACGGCCGACAATCTTGATCGAGCCTATGATCTTGCCGACTAAATTGAGACTGTTGGTGGTAGCAAGGTTGGCGGTGCGACCCTGAGACCTGCCGATCTGTCCATCGATAGTGAAGCCCAGCCCGTCGCGCCCACCGATTTCAATGAATGCATGCTGAGAAAATCGGTTGTCAAGTAAGGCATAGTGTGGACACGCGGACTACATGCCTGATGCTGGTTCTTGCGAATTTTGTTCTGGTATCTGTCGACTTGGGCATGGATGCGGTTGTTCCTATGGTCGACAGAAGTAGCAAACTGGCGCATGACCTCGGCCGGCTTCTTCTGCTCGAGCTGGTACGAATCCTTTGAGCTCTTCGCGAGAAACTCTAGTGCCTGTGATTACGATCAGCGCCATCGTTTGTCCAGAAAGCAGTGATCTACTTCGTCAGAGAGCCGGAAGGTATCTACCGGGGGCACTTGCGCGAGACGATCTTCCATGCTTGAGAGTTGTGATAGATAGTGTGCGATCCATGCACGTAGTGCAAGTGGAGTAATGCCATTCTTAGCGGAAGAGGCCACAGGCAGATGATTGATGATAGTATCATCGCAGAAAAGTCTGTTGATGTTTACATCGTGTACACGATGAAGATCACCAACGGCCTGCTTAACAATGGTGAGCGGGACACGTGTTTTCGATACGCTCTGCATATCGATCGCATTTGCGATTCGAAGATCAAGTGTTTGAAATAGAGCCAGAGCGATCGAAGCGACATCGAAAGCGTATAAGAATCCGGTTGTGCGACGAAGGAGGTTCTGTGTCAAAAACTCCCGAGCGGTGTTGCCTCTCTCACTGGCGGGTGTGACAGGGCGTTCATCGTGTTCGTTGCCCTTGTTCTTCTTCAACTCGAACTCAATAATGATAATAGTGGATGTGTCGGCGATTGCAAGCATCGCGAGCTCTCCAGTGAGCGCAAATCCGCCAGCAAGGCCAAGGGCACGTCCCTCGTTCCTTTCTAACAGACTGCGCAACTGATGTTGCTCTTCGATGAAGTTGGATTCAGGTATAATATGGGCCGACAGCTGTCCACTGTCGACTTCCATAAGGTTTTGATAGAGCAGTCTTGTTGCTGTGGGCATGTTTGATGATGGTGGTGAGTGGCAATGTCTAACGATGGAGTGCAACTCTATTTCAAGGTCTGCAATGAGGATCCGGGCCCGAAGCCTCATGACTAGGTGGGCGCTTGTTGAGTCCTGACTCCAGCTAGAATTTCCGAGCAGTCCCCGTGGTTCCCAGCCCTTCAAGTTTAAGCGGACTTCCGAGTCTTTCCATTGTCTATAGGTATCACAATCTCTCCGCAGTCTTTGCCGCTTTGTCCAAAGTGTCGTCCTGCCAAGCTCTTTTTCTGGCTCCAGAACTCCATGGAAGGATCTAAATGTATCTGTGATTATTCTCACAGACTCGCCGGTTGGCTCAGTATTGCTGATCACGACCGCGACTCGCCGAGTCCAAATTTACTCTGCTAGGCGCGCTATTTGGGGTCACCATCGATCAGAATGCTGATTGCTACCATTATCCCTGCAACAAAGGGCGAATGGAAGGAAGATAGCCGTCTTTTGTATGGAGTGACGGTATCCACTTGTTCATTATGGCAGGTTAATTCCTTTGTGCTTTGTGGTAGTCTATTGATCACATGCGCTCTGCCTGTTTGCTAACATCATCATGCAACGTGAAGAATGCCCGGCTATGTTATACCTAGTAGGTCCAGCACTTGTCTAATAGTGCCCAGATTAGTGGCAGCGCTAGTCGTTTAAGCCATCAGCTAGCTCTGTCCGCCTTCTGAGCGTTGCTGCGTGGGGTTCTACCATAGAGGTACACCACCCGATGACGCTTCATACTACAGGACTCTCGCCGTCAGGATATTTTGCTGTAGAGCAGTAACAGATTTCGGGCAGTCAGCACTCAGCGTCCGACCTTGACACTCGGGTGGCCTCCTGGAGGTTTCGACGTACACCAAATACAAGTTTACATATGCATGTGGTTCAATACAACAGATCTCTATCCTACATAGACTTTGACCTACAGTATGTACATACCCCAATTGCCATATAATACAAAATGCAGTGCGATATGCGACAAGAAAGTCCCAAAAAAGTGCGACGGTGTAAATAGTCTAAATTACCTTACGATGCCATTGACTATGTCACGACCGTCCAACCAGGAGTCAGGGCCCATAGTAAGAGCAAGCTGCCCAACCAGCGTGCCTGCCGCTTTGCCCTTCATCACGAAATCACGGTTCGTGCAAATGATCATGCTTTTCTTGCATCGTGTCAGCATGACGTTCGTCCTGCGCGAGTTCTTCAAGAACCCTACACCCTGGGTACGGACTAGAGAGACGATTATGTGGTCTTCCTCGTTTCCTGCGGGGGATGTCAGTCAGATCCTTCCAGCATGTCAGGGAAACTACTGGCCTTGGAAGGAGTCCACATTGAAGCACTTGTCTTCCCACGGAAGCTTCGCTAATTCGAGTTGATGTTCGATCGTAGACCTCTGGCCATCATATGGGGTGAGGATCCTGTACTGCTTGCCCTGGGTGTTGTATATACGGGCAAGGTGGATGATCACGGATATCTCTTGTTGGTTCTAATGCAAACGTAAGGCAGGCATATCACAACCATGAGGAGAAGCTTACTATCCAGCTCTTTCCCGATTTCTGCTCCTGGCCCCTTTTGACATCTAGGAAACGACATGCATTCTTGCTAGTGATATCGTGCACAGTCATCAATTTGTGACTGTATACATGACGGGAAATAAAGCTCCCAATGACGAGTGGCATGCGGTCTGAATGATAAAGTTCAAATGACGAGGGGATGAAGTCGAGTTACGAGCTTACATTGGGTATTCAAAAAGTGTGCCCGCTTTCGAAGGTGCGGGAATTCAAAAACACTTTTTAGCTGCCCGATGTCATCTTGGCCAAAAGGCGCCACTGATATCCAAGTCAGTACAGGTCAGCGGTATTATAACTACCTGGGTCTCACGTTGCTTGTCATCACCGATGAACACCATTTTTTGAAGGCTGTGCTGGAAACGCTGAAGCAGCGGCAGGTAGTCTCCCACTTCGATTTGACTTGCCTCGTCGAATATCACGGTTTGAACCGGGACTTGACGAGTAAATTCTTCGATACGAGGATTGGACAGCATACTCAATGTGCAAAGTATGACTCTTGTATGTTCGTTTGTGTGTTGGTTGAGCAAAAGCCGGCTAATGGACACAGTCCCACCACCAAACAAGTCGGATCGTATAAAACAATGTTCCAGTCTCTCGTAGAGGTGTTCATGCCTGAGACACAAAGAATCAGTATGACGAGGAGGTGAGGAAAGCGCAACGTACCAGTCGTAATGGAAATCTTTGGATACAAGAAGCTTAAAATTACGAAAGCCAACCTTATCAAGCTTTTCTGCGATATTCTTGACGGCAACGTTGGACTGCGCCACAAGCCAGACCGTACGTTCCATAGGGCCACTATTGATCATACTGTTGACGCTGGCCGCTATGACTGTTGTTTTTCCAGTGCCAGGAGGACCTTGAATAAGCAATACACGATCACTGTTCGCTTGCGAAATAATTCGCTCCACCGCAGAATACTGCGAGTCGTTCAATTCGCTGTTAGGATAGTATACGAATGATGCGGTGGAAGCATTCAGGGGTGGCCATGAGATGCTTAATGATGGCGCCCAGATGCTACAGAAGAATGGATGATCGGTCAATGTGATGGTGCCTTGAAGCGCCTTTAGCACTACATCTTCTCTGTTTGATTCAGCAGCCGTCAAGTCTTCTTTCCCAAAAGTGGTCACGGAGAGGACCTTGCCCGAAGGATTTGCAACACCTTGGACGTTAATATGAGCCTGTTTTCCATTTATTCGCCCTGCGCGACCAGTGATCGTGGACCGCTTATCTCCATTCAGCGTTTCAATGTGGATGACCTGTAAGTGCGAACGTTTAAAGTTGGTGGCATGGCATCTCATGAATTTGCATACTTGAGTTTTAGACCTCATGATACGTGTGCTGAAGCGAGTGCACTCGAGGTTGACATCGCCTTTCTTGGCGCTGAAGTCTGCTTTGACATTGTTGACGACTTTCGTTGGCTTCGAAGACTCCAACATTTCAGCATCACGAGAAATTTTGGCCAGGGCGCTCAGATGCTACATTATGGATTAAGAAAGGTCTGCGACATGACGAAGATTACACACCATCTCCGGCATCGTGTCTGTGTCGATTCGATGTATGGCAGCAAATCTAAGCGCCATGTCATCAAGTGTGGCAGCGCGATGTGCTGCCCAAGCCTGGAGCGCCACATCCTTGGATGCTCCTTCTCCTTCTCTGTGAGAAAACAGGGTTTTCACGTGGTCCTTCTGGAGTAAAACCTCGCCACCCAAGGCGTTCATAATTGCCTGGAGGGAGCGCCGATCACTGGTAGACACCGACAGGACGTCAACTGCACCATTGATACGAAGCGAGAAGTCTTTGAAGAGAGCAAGTGCAATTCTGTCTATCCTGTACCCATATAGTTTAATGCCAATGTTACACAGAATTCGGTCTTGTATGAGGATGCGTCCTCGAGAAATGGGAGGCTGTGGTTCCTGGGCTTTCTTCTTCTTCTTCTGCTGCTGCTGCGGATTTTGTTTATTCGCAGCAAAGAAGTGGATGACAAGCACCCTGGTGAGCGTTGCAAATGCTAAAGAGGAAAGAGAACAGTCTGGGCGGTATGCAGCTGCCACACCAACGGAGGCGCCTGGGGCAGAGTTGATGATGCGCTGCAAGGCTAGAAAAGAAACACTGTTCTCGTCGACGTCTTCAACGGTTATGGGCTCATGATCGGCCTTGTAAACGTTCTGTTGCAGAGTGAAGAATGTGTGAGTCATGGATGTCCTGAGAGGGAGAAAGCGCACGATGTCAATGCGCTGAAAGTGAGGATGTAGGAACGTGATAAAAGGCCACAGCTATTTATTGCTGGACGAGCGTCTACTGTGAATGAACGGTAACGGCGTTTTACAGCAAGTCAGCAGTGAAAGGGGGACGCATAGTAGGCTGTGCCGGTGCTGTTACTGTAAGTAAGAACAAAGCATAATTAATGGGTGCTTTGTGTGTCCAGTATCCCAGACCGCACGGCAACTAGATCCAAACCCATTCACTGAGCGTCTTTCAATTGTATCCAACTTGTAGGTGCAAACAACAACATTGAGCGGAATTTGCGCGTAAGCAATTGAAGCCTGGAGGCAGTGTGAGAGTCAAATTCAAGAAAACCGTGAGGCGACAGTGACCAAATTTAGCACAGCCACGCCTTGCTCTCTTCTTTTCATCTCATGGCAACTCCTGTAATTGTCGGTGTTGGAGCTATCACAGCTGCTCTCGTTGGTCGACATCTTGTACGCAATGGTATTATTGGAAAGCGGGCAGCAGACCAGTGGGTCAAGGGTGGTTTTAAAGCGAAAATGGACCGCAAGGAGGCTATTGCAATCCTTGGGCTAAAGTTTGCACTTTTCACGCTCTATCACCTAGTGTCTGATTGCCAATATCTTTTACAGGGACGGCGTAACACTGCGAAACAAGTTGAAAGATGCCCACCGTCACATTATGCTCGCAAACCACCCTGACCGTGGGGGCTCTCCATACTTGGCAAGTAAAATCAACGAAGCCAAAGACATGTTAGACAAGACAGATGGAAAGTCGAGATAACTTTTAATTCTCTTACGTTGGTTACTCACTATACCGGTAAGCCATTGTCAAGCTCTTGAACCGGGAGAATTACTCAGATATCTCAAGTCTACTCTGTATTTCTATCTCTATATATCCATCATAATGAATATCATCACTCACTCCTTTAAATGGTCCTGGCCCACTATACTACCTGCCGTCTGATTCTGCTTCTTAGAATTTCTTCACATATTTATCAAGTATCGAGACAACCACCTCGTCCTGTTGACCGGCTTACTAAGCAGCGCCTTTCATTCTGTAACGATTGTCAACGATTGGTTAACAACTTACTTCAGTTTCAAGATCACTCCTAAAAACGTCATGGACACATCAGAGCTCGAGCCTTCAAAGCTCGGTACGAAAGAACAGTAGGCGTGTTCAACCTCTGTGCAAACTCGTGGGTCCCATCGCTCATCGATAATCAGTTGGGATAACGTTTACGAAGAAGAATTGGAGAACTTCGGTGAAAACGGTGACGAGGGTGAAATATGGTGCGTATTCACATAGCTTCCATTGCATCTATACTTCTGCCGCCTAGGTTCGGCAAAAAGGCGATGAATGAAATGATCAAATGGGTTAATCGACATGTCCCTTCACGCCCTGATATGTCAGTCCTGGAAGTTGGAAGTGGGAACGGTGCACTATTATTCGCGCTTGCGGAGGGACGTGGAAAAGCTTGCTATCCAGCGCATCGACTCCTGGGAATTGATTATAGTGAAGGAGCCGTCCAGCTCGCTCAATCGGTGGCGCACTCTCGAAATCTTACGGCAGTTACGTTTAGATTGTGCGATTTCCTGCACGAGGACCCACCATTACTCGCAGATGATCAGAAAGCTGACCAGAATGGAGCTTGGGATCTTATCCTTGATAAAGGCACATACGATGCCATCGCCCTGATGGAGAAGGACAAGAATGGAAGGACCCCAGTAGAAGGTTATCCGATACGTATCGCGAAGCTCTTAAATCCAGGCGGGCATTTTCTAATTACATGTGCGTATGCATCGTGCCACTTGGCTGTAAAACTGAGAGCCCTTCAATCACCCCAGCTTGTAACTTTACCGATTTCGAGTTAGAATCGAAGTTCATTACCGAAGAAACCGGCCTGCAGTATCAGTATGTTGGCGCTCATTTCATAACGAAACTAGATGCTGATATTCCCCAAAAAGTTCTCGTATAGAACATCCAACTATTTCATTCGGCGGGAGCACCGGGAGTGCATGTTCTAGTGTGGCATTCACCAAATCTGCGTAGTTAAGCATTGTTAGATTTTGGGGATATGGTCCATCCCAGTCTGTAACGTCTCTTTTGCCACTGAACTAGCCCAAGTCAAGAACCCATCCTCTCCTTTGAATGTATTAGACATGAAGAATACCAATCCAAGGCCCAGGTTTTCGATCCTGGATGCCTTCAAGAAGATCTCTTCGAGTGATCCACGGTTCCTCATGGAAGGATAGTCTTTGGAGTCGTTGCTGAGCATCGGTGATGAAACCTGGCTAGCGATAAACAGTTGTATGAACAACTCTTTCAAAAAAGTGCGTGTCTGTGGCTTGAGCATCGTGAAGTCTACAGGCTGTAAGATCCTCGTTTCAGCAACTCCTTGCGTCAACTGTGCCCAGGCTCACCTTGAAGATCGTCAGCGTACAACAATCTTTGGCTATCCACCATGCGTATGCTTTGGAGACGTTCTTCATTCGCGAAGGCGACATGGATTTAACATCAAACCCTACATCGTTATCTTTCAGGCTCTTGATTACCTCTGCCCCACCAACGCTACTTTCGCCCAAGTCCCGAAGAAAGTCCCATAGACAGAACTGCAATGTAATCTTGTACGAATGCGAACGCTGAGACAGGTGCTGACAGACAAGTGTGTAATACGGGTTATAAGATTTTTCCTGCAAAATTGGTTCAGCGAATGATGGCGATGCAAAATCCTATAGAATCCCGTACATTTCCACAGCAATGCAGGTTTACTCTGACGATCTCGCGTTGCTGTACTTCTGTGAGGCCGAGTTGCGCAAGTCGTTCGCAAGCGTCCAGATAGTCCTGCAAACAGGAAATAAGATTTGATAGCAGGGATACGGCGTCGATACCTACATCACTGCTCATGAGCACCACAAAAATACTTCGACGAATATCTGTATTCATGCCCTGCTTCCTCGCAAGCTTTAGAAGCGCGGTAGTGCTGACGTCACCTGTCTCCGTTTCCCCACCATGTTGGGGAACTTCGCGCGATTGATCGGCCAGAGGATCTCCGGCCCAAGCAGCGCCAATGAGCCACCACTTTCCTTTGCTTTCTGCCAAATGGAGATCCTCCAATGTTACGCGTAACGGCTCGTGAGCGAGAACTGCATCCGCCTCAGCGTCATCCTAAATCACTCAACGGAAGAACGACCTACTGTGCTTCTTTTTTCCCAAGCCTGAGAGGAACTTCTTCATCCGCTCGACAGCATCGCCCCCCTGATGCTGTGTTGCAGCTGTCTTCTTGATTTTATTGTTCTTCAGGTTATTTAGGGTCTCGATCATGAACCGCGCGCGTGAACTGTGTTTCGCAGTGAGAAGACGGCAATAAAGATAATGAGATGTGGTAGTACCTCATGGTATCGGCTTGTCCGGTGACTCGAGACTGTGCTAAAGTTATGATGTCCTTCAATGCCATAGGATCATCTTGTCGTAGCTGTTGGCCGGAACCTAGCACAGGGTTAAGATGCGGTGAGGATAGATACTATCAGATTTACTTCGAAGAAGTTTCAGCAGGAGTTCTACCCGGAACTCAGATAGGTCTTTATCCAGAAGGCCGCGAATGATATCATAGACGAGAATGCACGAAATGACTTGAAAATTGTACAGCTCTGACAAAAGCACGATGAGGTTGGAGCACTCTTTTCCTAGGTCTTCAGGGATTTCCGTTGACGCGGCTAACTTTTCCTCCACCGAAGTGAGGTGTTGTTCATACGAGGACACTGTATTCTGAACAAAATATGCCGCTGAGTACATGACATGCATCAGCTAAGGTGGTAGAAGGTCATTTCACAAGACACATACCAAATGCAGTGCCGATCAATTTATGTAGGCTAGATATAAACGCGGCGTGGAGAACCACATACGAGTCCAGAAGAGTAGAATGGGATGATATGCCATCAATGATGAGGTTCGTGAGGGTTGAGGTGACATCTGAAGGGGAAAATATGTGCCACGTTCAGTGCAGATAAAATAAGCACAAACCATGCCGGCGGTGATTGCGATACACGTCTTCTATGCTATCTAGGATGGTTGCAATGTTTTGTTCAGACATTCTAAGGCGAGATAAATCAGTATAGACCACGACAATACAATAAGAAGTTACCTGTTTATCAGACCTTTCAGCTGACGAGTGAGTTTGAGTTGTTCCTCTGTTTCATTTGTATCGCTATTATCTTGTTTCCTCAATCCCGGCGGGATATAGCGTCCTGTGAAGCAAGGTGGAATCCAGCCCAAAAATTATACATGGAGGAAAACTGACCAGTAACCTTAGGTTGAATGTCGGAAGGTTCGCCTTCTTTCGTCTCTGTCACCTCATGGTCATCATCGTCCACCGAATCATCATTTTCCCCAGCTTCAGTTCCGTCGTTCTTGCTGAGCTCGTCAAGGCCACCCCACTCCTCATCTTCCCAAGATCCGTCACTATGGTCTTCCGCAGATGTTGATTGATCTTCATCCTCCACTTCGTCATCCAAATCTGAGTCCTGCGTGGACTCAAACACCACGCAACGCATAGCTGCAAAGTAGACTTACTGGCATCTCAGTCATGATTTTCTCCGTAAAGTCAAATAGATCTACAGAAAAACTGTGAGACACATGCACTGGTAAAAGATGCGATGAAACATACCTCCTAGTCCATCCATGTCATCATCCTTACGACGTGAATCACCTCCAGCATACCCCAGCTTTGATTCAAGGTACGCGATATACGCATCTTCTTCCTCTTCTTCGCGACTTCGAGGGCCCGTAGATGCAACTTTATGGGATTTAGCAACCGATTTATTTACGAGTCTCTCTAGCGCAGTGGTTTTGAATTTTTGCTTCGGCACAGACTCGGTGGTGGTATGCGGTTCCTCAGGCATAGGACGCGGCAGTACCTTGGTGGCAGCCGCATTGTGAGACTTTGAGGCAGGTGGTCGAGAAACTGACTCTTGTGACGTCTTCACGCGCTTTCTCTGCGGTGAATTGACGTGTTCTTCTTCCGTCTTCCGTTTGGCTGAGTAAGGGCTATGTATAAAGTGATCCGCCTTTCTCTTTTTACGATCCGTTCGCTCTTGCTTTCGCGCATCCTTGCGTGATGCATGGGAACGACCACTTTTGTGTCGATGAGAGCTCTGCTCTGCATGCATCGTCACGACTGGCTCAGAGATGAATTCTGTATGAGCTCACCTGAGGTATTGATTTGTTCAAGTAAAGACTTGGGCAGGCTGATGCCATGCCGTCTCTGACCCCCTGGCCGATGCATTAGATTTGGAGTAATTTTTGAGGTGTCACATGTCATACTGAATAGGAAGGTAATTTGATGGGTGTTTGCGCTTGTTGAGTAGCACCTTTAGGATCAAATACGGATAAACAATATCCAAGTGATCTACTAATACGACATAAGTACCATAGTAACGTCCATGAAAGTAAGTACATATAAGTACAAAGAAAGTACAACAGCAATGGGTGGTATGGATGGATGAGGGGATTATGTAAAGTACATAGATGCAGCAGAAATTGTTAACAAGAAAAGAGACATCATCGCGGATCGATAACTTCTACAACAGATTCAAGAACCACCTTGGGTCGCAACAGTATACGCCGATCTATGCTTTCTTCCGAAGCTGGCGCGTCGCTCGTAGCTTTTCTTGCCGAGCAACGTAAGCCTAGTTCCGTTGTACACAGAACAACGCCATCCGATGATCCATAGTCTTCAAACGCATCCATCATCTCCTGCCCGTCAAACAGCTGACCACTATCCGCAGCGATAACCTCGAAGTTCGCCGACATAATCTCCTCCCTCGTCACTTGCGCTAGCCTGCAAGCGGCCTTCGAGATCCGTTTGACTTGGGCCCCGAAGCATGCACGGAAGTTCTCGCGCGAAGCCGGATTGGGCTGGGGATTGGTGCTACCAGAGATGAGAAAAATGTCTAGCGACCAACGAAAGATCGTTTCCGTCATCTCATTGATTGCATATTCATTAAGTTCGGGGTGGAGCTCATGAATGTGTTTATGAGTCAGCGCTCTCCATCGTGACGAGGTTGGTTGAGGTTCTGAGGTGATATGAGCAAATCACGAGCAACGAAGTGTTTTAGGAACCCACCTGAGTGGAACATATGGGTATAGATCTGGGTCAGGGTGATGTTGGCCTTGGACTGGTAACCGATGCAAAATGACGATAGTGCTCTAGATATGCAGTACGAGATGCAACCCTGGAGAGCTAGTTGAACAAGCATAGGATCTTGGGAGTGATCCCGAGTTGCCAATAAGCGACTCAGGGCAGCACCCAACCTCGTGGCAACTTCGGAGGAAGCTTGCGTAACCTTTGCTGAGTTAGGGCGCTGCTTCGAGAACGTGCAAAGTTCTGTGGCAGATGCTGCAAACTGAAGAATTTCAGAGTTGAGATCTTGTACAGCTTGTATGACCTGCGCTCCAGACCACAAATCAATCTTGTTCAAGAAGGTCTCTAAGCTGCGAGACTGGGCTCTCTCTTCTTCGGACACGGTAGACATGTTGTCTGGGTAAGGGTCGCTACCATTGCGGCGATGATTGCCGTTGGCCTGTGATAAGGTATCGTCACGGATGTCTGACCAGTCAGCGCTCAGTCGGATCTGTCGAGACTGAGATGAGTCTGACCGCTGATGTGCGGGATCACAGCTTCGTCGACGACCGAAGTGAGTGGAACGGAAATGATGCTCGGGTGAGTGCCTTTCGCGCTCCTTAAGCACCTGGATTTCCTGGTCTCTGACCTTCAAAAGGTCTCTCGTTTCTTTGAGGGTCTTCTCGAGGGTTTTATACCTCTCCTCCCAGCGAGCGACTTCTGCTTTTGTTTTGGATAGTTCGTTTTTTATAGCATCGTTTTCGCGGCGCATTGAATAAAGAGTAGAGGCTGCAACAGAGGCGCCAACCGAGGGATTACAAAAGGACGAATTGTGAGAGTCAGTACGTTCGGCAGCATCCAATCTGTCACGTAATGAAGTGGACTCTTCGTCTGCAGACAGGTTTTTCGGTCTCGGTGTCGAGTCTGTCGGCGTCAACGGAAAGGATAAGTCGGAGACAGAGTTTTCAGCGCTGAAAGCACTGAAAGAAAAGGAAGGACTAAGCGAGGTAAAGAATTCGAAGGTTGATTGGTACAGGTCTTTGAGATTCAAGTTAGCGATAGGGAGCATGGCGGCTGAACGTCGGACAACCAAACACCGTTTCAGCGTGTTGTTTTAGGCCTAAGGCCTAATCACTGGCTCAGTTATATGATCTATGCGTTAGCGAAATTTTATGGGAAATCATATGAGGTTAGATATAATCACTGACAAGTGCCAGGCTCTGCTGCAAGTGCCAGCTGGTTCCAACCAGATCCCTGACAAGGATTCCCTCCTCGGGCAATCTCTGGGCGGCCAGTACAAGCAAGGTTCCCAAGCCCTATTTCCAGCGCAACACGAGGTTCTTCTTAAGCCTCGAGGCAGTTGCGTTTTTGTTCGTGGAAAGCCAATGGCAGAAGGATGTACGTGATCATCCTCGTGGTAAACTCCAATTATCTTCTTGCTGATTCACTTCATTTGATTCTCATTCTAGCCCTTGTCAGTGCAGCATGCACTGCTGACACGCTGCGATCATTTTCATCGTAGCCTCGTGTGGACTGCCTTTATTCGAGTCACCCGCCCCGACTTAGCACATAGTACATATATGGCCTCATAAGCTCATATCTATCAACAATCCGACTTTCTCGACATTATCTACACCCGGCATGAAGCCAACTTCTGACACGCGAAAGCCCTATGGCGGCTCCTCGCGTGCACTAATCATCGCTCTTGACGTCGGAACCACTTTCAGTGGTGTATCATATGCCCTACTCGAACCAGGCGAAGTCCCAAAAATCCACGGCGTTACTCGGTGAGCATCTCGTTCCAATGGCGCGTACCCTCTGACGGAAAACGCGTCCGCCCTTGTCCTGTTCAGTTTCCCTGGTCAAGAACATGTGGCTGGCAATTCCAAGATTCCCTCTGTCATGTATTACGATAAGCATGGCAGAGTCATGGCTGCTGGCGCTGAGGCAGACAATGCTTCCATAATAAGCCAGGCTGAGGACGAGGAATGGATCAAAACGGAACTGTATGTGTACATTCCTTCCCGTACGATCAAATTTTGACACTGCTGCTTACCAGCTTCAAGCTTCGCCTCCGGCCGAAGAGTATGAAATTGAAAATGAATGGGATGCGTCTGAGTCCGCTGCCACGACATAAAACTTCCGTTGATGTTTTTGGAGATTTCCTTGCCTATCTCTTTCGCTGCACGAAGATTTTTATCATAGACACACATGCTAACGGCCAGACCCTATGGCATCATGTCGAATCCAGCATCGAGTTCGTGCTGAGCCATCCCAACGGCTGGGAAGGTGCTCAGCAGACGAAGATGCGACGCGCTGCTGTGTATGGGGGTTTGATTCCTGATATGGATGAAGGCCGAGCGCGAATCCGTTTCGTCACGGAAGGAGAAGCTAGTCTTCATGCGTGTGTCCAGAGCGGTCTTGCTGCCGATGTCCTTTCTGTATGTATTCCGAACATATCCCACACATGAACTTCTCGTCTGACGTGTCCCCTAGAATCCGTCTAGGCACGGATTCCTTGTAGCTGATGCGGGCGGCGGCACGCTTGATATCAGTTCCTATGCAGTCCGAGGGACCAATCCCCTGGTAATCGAAGAGGTGGCACCTCCCGATTGTGAGAATATGCTGACGCGTCCTCTTGTCTATTTTCGTATCTGATCATTTGCTTCCGAAGGTATATTTGCTGGATCTGTCTTCGTCAGCCGAAGGGCAAGGGAGTTTTTGGAAGGTGAGCTATCTTTAGTTGCATCATACACAAGGCATCATCTCATCCTGCGTGTAGAGAAGCTCAAAGGTTCGAAGTACGGCACTTCCGATTCGATTGACCACATCACCAAACGCTTCGATGAGACCACTAAACGGCTATTCCGAGACAAAAAGGATTTACAATTCGTTCCATTCGGATCTCCACTTGACAAAGATCTTTCAGTTGGCATCCGCGGAGGCCAGTTGAAACTTGATGGGTAAGTAGGCGAACAAACATTCATTATGCTTCCAAAAATAACGCTTGATAGTGCGCAAGTGGCAGAGTTCTTCGAGCCTTCTGTCCAGGCGGCGATCACGTCGATCAAAGCCCAGGTTGACGCATCGCAAGGGATGATCAAAGTATGTTACTCTTCACACTCAACATGAGGCCTTAATGATCGCCTTTTCATAGTCCGTCTGGTTGGTGGGAGGATTTGCGGCCAGCCCGTGGCTCTTTAGTCAATTACAGGAACGCCTCGCTCCACTGAAGATCACTGTGAGCAGACCGGACAGCCAGACGTAAGAGGCTAAATGATCATTTCAGTATTTCATCTCTCTAATATTGTACGATTTAGTTCAAAAGCTGTGGCTGATGGTGCACTTGGCTTCTACTGCGATCATCATGTCTCGGCCCGGATGTCGAAATTCATGTATGGGGTGGAGTACCTGCGTGAGTACGATCCCAACGATCCGGAGCACCAGTCTCGGAAAGATCGACTTTGCGAACTTCCATCTGGTCCTCGGCTTCTGCCCGATGCGTTTGACTGTATTCTTGCTCGAGTATGTTTGCAGTGATTTCACTGGAACGTGGGTTGACTTAACGAATGTGCACATTTGCAGTGCGTGAAGGTTAAGGAATCTACGGTGTTCTCGCGGAAGTATTGCACGGAACTTACCAATCTGTCTACTCTTTCTGTGTTTGAGGTAGAGATATGGTGCTATAGAGGTGGTGACACGATTCCGCAGTGGATTCTACGCCATGCAGGTGGGTATCCCTGAACATGAGTCCGAATGCCGCGCTGATCCATGACCTTCCATCCTTTCATTGACAGAGGACTATTCGACATTGTGTGTAGTCCGCGCAGACCTGTCGCTCCTCAGCGGAAGTGCAGAGCCTAAACAAGGCAAGAATGGCAAAACATACTGGACGATCGTGTTTAGCGTCGAGATTCACTTTGGTCTCACCGAGTTCAAAGCGCGCATAAAGTGGAATGACAACGTGAGTGATTTCCATGTATTTTTTCTTACGTGTGCTAAGTTGGTTGTAAAAATCTTAGGGAACGATCAAGTAGTATGTGAAAATCTGCATGAAACCAGTGACATCTCTAATTTCGTCTATAGTGGACCTGCGTCTATCGTGTATAGCGAGAGCGGCCACCGTGCTGACGAAGACGAACCGGACATCTCAGAGGATGACTACACCCCATCGCGTGCTGGATCCGTTGCGCCGTCACGCTCTCATTCCGTTGCGCCGTCACGCTCTCATTCTGTCGCTGCCTCTCGCGAATCACTCGCTTCAGGTACCAGGACTCCTCTGGGAGCCTCACGAGTGGAGGCCACATTCATAGAAGTCCAAGAGCGTAGCCGGACGAGTGTAGTCTCAACTCAGTCATCCGCTTCCAAGGTGTCCACTCCCTCGCCTCCGACCCCAGCGGCCACTGAGCGTGGGGTGAGAAGCAACACGACGTCAACATCTCAAGTCACGGCTGAACAAAGCACCCGGGAGGTCGAGCGACAACGGACAGTGTCTACCGCATCCAGGGTCTCCACAGTAGTTGGGAGCGCTGTTGAGCGAGACCGCAGGATTTCGACTGCTTCGAAAGTTTCTGTCTCGGCTGTTTCTCAGCATGTCCATACAGCTTCTTCCCAGCAAACGCTCCTAGCCACTTCCCAGCTTTCCCCTCCAGCTGTCGCCCAGCCTGCACCTCCGGTCACTGTCGAAACCCGCGGACGGGAGGCTCAACCTCCTGCTAAAGACAAAGGCAAGGGGAAAAATAAGACCCCCAAGACCACCGTACCTCCTTCCCCGATTGATCCGGCTGACACCACCGTGGGCAAGAGTCCAGGCCAGCTAGCAGAAGCCCTTACAGCTGTCTGGGGCTCTGCTTCCAAGGCGAACACGCCTGGAGCCTCGCCGCTGGTTCAGACCTCCAAATCTCTCGAGCCAACAACGCCAAAGATCGAAGCTCCCCCTCCGCTGTCTCACAAAGCGACGCCAAAGACTGCAGAGGTCAAGCTTTCAGAGCCATCTACACCTGCACTCGGAGAAGCCCACCACTCGATGTCTACCACTATCGTCTCTGAAGTGCATCAGGAGACAACGAGAGAGCTCTCGGTTGAGATTACGCAAGAGACACGGATGGAAGGTCCGCCGTCGTCTACCACGCCGGCAGATACAGTTCCTACTGAGCTTATCTCTACGGAAGCTTCCCGGGATCTCGCCGCGATTGCGGAAGTTTCAGAAGTCGTGGTTGCCGAGCAGCACACAGAGATTTCAGAAGTCGTGGTTACCGAGCAGCACACGGAGACGGCTCTCAGTGTCACAGAGACACAATCCAACGTTCTGGGTATTGACATTTCTGTGCCCACACTCGAGCTCAATCTCTCGTCGGAAGCACCATCTGCATCAGCGAATGACACCAATGGCGATGGTGGTTGGAGCCTCGATGAGCCGTGGGGTCAGCAGTCCGCTGAACAGACAGAGCCAGTTAGTTCCCCTACTTGGGGTTCTTCTGGTAGCACCGGATGGGGCTCGAGTTTAAAGGCCACCACCGGATTGGGGGTGAGATCAAGCTGGTCTATGCCAGCTGGATCCACTTTTGGAGGCATCGGTTCTACTCTCGCAGGATTTGGTAATCTCCTCAGCGCTGATGGCAGGAAAAGTTCCAAGTCCTCGCCAAAACCTGGTTCACCCTTACTTCCAGCTGAACACATTTCTTCTCTTGGAAACCTCAGCTCTCTTTCAGGGTCAATCAGTAACCTCGTCGGTGATGACAAGAAGAGTTTGATGCCCTCACTGAATCCCGATGCATCCCCGCTTCCACTCCCTCGCGCTCTTTTCAATGCGGGCGACGCTGATCCGCCCGCTGCTCCAGTACAGGCAACGGAAGAGACTCCTGCACCAGCTGAGGCACCGACCAATGTGGCGAACGCTGTAGTACCAACCACAGACGAGACAGTACCACCTCCTACTGATACAGCGACGACTGAAGAGAAAGCTGGAGAAGAAAACCCCCCTGCAGAACCCGTCGCTACTCCTGGAGAGCCGGCCGTTCCGACAGGGGATGGAGAGGGTAATGCTCCCGAAGAGGACAAAGAGGAGGAGGATGTTAAGAAATCGAAGACAAGTGCCCCGGCAATGAAAGCAACTAACAGCAAGGGAGGGAAGAAGAAGAAGAAGAAGTGAAGTGCAGGCACTCGTACACAGATCCCCCACTTCGTGATATTGTTCATCATTTACTTTACGTCTGACGAATTTGTGATACTGCTATCCTTGTAGCTAATAATCTTGATACCTGTAGCTTTTGAGTCAATAACCTCTAGGAGGCGGTTCTAGTCTTGCAGCTCGGACATATGGAATAGGAACGGCAATATGATGCAAAGTATTCATCCACTTGTCATGTTCTTTCAAAGTGAGTATAGAAAGCGTACTGCAAGCCTCTTTGAGCACCAGGAGAGTAGCTATGCACGGCAGTCATTGGACGAGCATGCTCACGAATATCAACGCATAAAAGTGGTTTGACAGATCGTGCCCAAAACAATACACTGGTGTTCTAGCCATCAAGGTTTGATGTTTGCCAGTGGTAGTAGTACAAAGCAAAGGTCGCAATATGGGCCAGCCTTCACTTAAGCTCAGGGTTATCGTCCATGGACAGGTCCAAGATTCTCGATAGCCATAGAGCCTATTAGGTGTTGTCTTAGCGGCATATCAGGTGCGCGAAATCAATATCCATGTAACCCATCAAATATTGAGATGAACCGTCTTCGTCCAGTTGTACGGTCTGTATATCGGGCGCCATATAATGATACAAATATACGGCACCCCATGCCCAAGCCTTCTTATTGGTATCTCAGCCTATCGACGTCCACCGTTGACAAACATTTAACATACAGTCAATCAAGTACTCCCTTGTGTTTCGTGTCACTGGCAGCCGTGACATCCCTATCGACGAGGAAGATATTCAGAAGCGTGCATCGAATAGCTCGCAAGGAAAAAGTAGTTGACAGTGGACACTAGCTAGCTTCGACGACACGATCACAGATTGATAACAGTAAACGATTTGACTACGTATAAGGTAAGCTTGAAGGCCAATATTAAGTAATAGGAACTTCAGAAATATTTAATTATTTAATAATGGGGATCAGTTCACAGTACTAGTATTAATAAGATCATGTATGCATGGGTCGTAAGTAAGCTGCGACAGAGGATCCATCAACCGCAGAGTAAGACAAAACCTGTATCTAGAAGCAAAAAAAGAAATAATCTAAGCACATTGATCACACTACCTCCGTACCATCCCAACGCTCCGGTTACTGATCCCCTGATCAAAACTACGCTTCCTCCGTCTCCCATTATCAACCGCAGACGACAAGCCAGACTTCAGACTCGTAGCACTTGCGTTCTTCGCATCCAACGAGAGTGCTGCACCGACAGCAGGCATGCTCAGTCTCCGTATCCAGCCCCTGGGCTTCTCAGGGCATGAAATAATAGGAGGCTCCGGAGGACGTAGGTCGCGAGGTGAGGGTGAAACATCTGGTGTTTTGTATTTAATGACGGAACACGTATCACAACCGCAAAATGGCGCGTGGTCTTTCGCAGGTAGAGGAGAAGACGGCTGTGAGCTTGACGGAGATTGAGATTTCCGCTGCGGTGAAGTCGAGTTCAGTGGAAGGACAAGGTGTGAAGTGCTCTGTGAGCCGCGTTTGTGCTGGAATGGTGTCGCGTGAGGCACTCTGGGCGTGTCACTAGCACTGATAAGGTCGCCCCGTGCATCAAGAAAATGCATTCGATCGCGCTCGAGATCGCGCGTTTTCTGGTTGAGTTCTCGTTCGCGCTGTCGAAGCTCGCATTCTTTCTCCTTGAGCTCTAGTTCTACGAGCTGTTCGATACGTTGTCTCCGCTTTCGAATATCTTCTTCGCCTTGAGGGCCGTCACGGGTGACTTGGGAAGCAGGAGGGTTCTCATCGACCACTTGTCTATCGGTTGGCGAACGTCGAGGGGTCTCATCTATAGGCTCATATCTAGAAGCGAGATCTGAAACGCTCATCGGCAAGCGCGGTACATCTTTCGGCGTCAGAGACAGAGGCTCGATCTCAATGCAAACAAAAATCAGCCCGGCACATCAAAGAATTAAATCTATTCACCGTACGACTGTAACGATTGAGCAAAGCAGCAACAATACTCACATTGCTCGTAGAACTATTAGTGCGCTCAGGCGTCTTCTTCGCAGCATCGATACTCCGGCCCCTTTTGAATGCGCTGCGGCTTTCCACTGAAGCACCGAACTCGCGCTCTGAAGGAGGAGTATGCTCTAGTTGCTTGCTGTTGAGTGCTTTCTCGCTTGAAGTCGCTCGTGCAATCAGGGATAGTCGATCAAGTTTCACTTCCTCGCAGGACCGGGACTGCGTCTGTCCCGGGACCTTCTTCTCGCTACCAGTCAACATCCGCGGTTCAACTATTCCCTGCGCCATTTTCTCTTCGAGGTGATTATCAGAGTACCTATGCTGTAAAGAGGATGGCGTAGTCTGTCCCTGAGACGCAGAATACAACTTGAAATCAACGAGCACATGCTTATCAGAAAGCGTACTCTCGATCGGCTGTGGAGATTCCGATAATAGGACACGTTGTTGAGCTGGTTGATTTGGTCGGGGAACTTGTAGACTCTGCATTTGCGTTCTCTGGTGCTGCAGCTCTGCTTCGTTGGCAGCTAGAGGGATGGGGAAATGTGTCGGAGGGAAGGGGAACGCGCTGAGAGTCGTTATCGAGTTGATGGAGCCCTGGTTCTGGTTCTGCTCGTTGGAGCTGAATGGCGGGTGAGGACGTTCGAGGTCGGCGGGATTGGCTTGTGAAGGAAGGGGAAACGAAGTTTGGTACTCGTGTTTTCCAGGCGGGATGTTTTGACCCCATTCCGTTACACCCCGGGTTGGAAGTGGAGCTCGAGCAGGCGCAGGTAATATGTCTGGTAGGTCATCGGGTAAGGGACCTGTCCATGCGCCCTCGCAGAGAGCTCGCCATTCACCAAGTGGACCAATAGACGGGGAGAATCGACGGATGCTTTCACATGACCGCGCCCATTCTGCATCTGCGACCCTCGAGAGGCAGGCTGCTATGCTATACGTAGTCGATGTGTGCTGTTGCGTCACGAGTAACGCATGATTACTGTCGAATGCACAGTCAAACCAAAAGTACTGCAATAGGCATACGTACAACTTACTATTTCTCCTGAGACATATCAGGACCAAGCGTACTGAGCAGATTGACATAACGAGCGTGTTCTTCCCCAACATCGCGTGCGCTCTTCTTAGCCTTCTTCTCGTATGCCTGACCTTACAGGAACCGTTGAGACAACGCAAGCTAGAACGAACAACAACATAATGTGACGTACCAGCTTGCTTTATACGAGCGTTTGAATCATCCATACGTTCGTCATGGGTTTTCTCTTCTTTCTTCAGTCGTCGGTGAGTGAGCGAGGGGAGGGTGGAGTGAGGAACGTAATATGTACCGCGAGCTTTTTGAACCATTTTTTCACCTCTAAACTGATACTGCGACATTCCGTATCAGCTATCTTTGCAAACTTAGCATCGACATCGGAAAGAACGTCGAATATGCTTGCGCTAATGTTCAAGGCGTTGCCTGTGTACCGCGTCGTTTCGTGAGACTTGGATTTGGGTTGAACTTTGGAAGGTAAACTTACCTGCGATCTCATTGGTTGTTTTGAGGGCAGCAGCTTCTTTGAGGGTTTTTGAGAGCTTCCTCTGTAGTGCGACGATAGCCCCTGCAGCTTCGCAGTAGTCAGTAAGCATGTTTACGAGTGTCTCCAACGTTCCGCATGATTTGTGGATGTCTTGCCGTTCTGCGGGCCGTGGGGAGGTGGTGAGGCTTGACATGGAGATGCGCTGGAGGTAGCGAAGTAGTACTACAATTAAATGGAGACTTTACTCCTTGCTCGCTCGAGCTTGCGGTCCCACATCGGTTATGCTGGTGAGAGATGATCATCGGACTTTGAATCAAGAGGCATAAAACATCATGATGTTAAGACAAATCCAAGACAGTGTGCTAGCATACAGAATATTCTACAGTAAATTTGTTAGTCGTGTGAGGTCCAGCTAGAAAGCAGTGCATATGCGTGATGTAAGTGACCCTGTGCAGGTCTGGAGATTCATGAGCAATTTAGTACGGATGAATTGTAGGAGGGCAGGGGGCACGAACTAGTACTTAAAATTGGATGCCTGCTCCTTCCTTTCAATGAGTCCTGGTCCCGTCAGAATGTTGTTCTACACTCGGACTACATCTGTCAATGATCGCGAATTCCGCAAAATAATTGTATACCTTACCTTGATGACTTCATGCGCAGTAAGCTTTTCCAGGGCTTCCGTCTGGACCGAGAATTGGTACCAGGATGAAGTGGAATGATGTATTTACTACGTGGTGGTGAATGAGACACGAGTGGGTGCTAGTTACGGAACAGTCAGAAGCAAGCTAGGATAAGAGAAGTGTGAACTTACGTCAAGCGAGCATGTTTCGATATTCCTTTGCTCTCTCAGTCCCTGTTGAATGTGCCCGTGGTCCGATTGATCATGCTGAACGTCTCATGAGAACTAGGACATGCCAGCGCCGAGAATACTGGGCTTACATCTGAAGCATCGGATGCGAAATATACGCATTGCACCTTGGTCAGCAGGGCATAATGGTCGCTGATCCACCTTCTCCGCGTCAGCTGCCCGTATTTCTTCCCAACAGCTATCTTCTTTGGTGTATCTACAAAGAAGCCTGGACGAGGCGTATAGACCAGCTTGTCTAGTCTTCCTGGTGTAAGCGGAGAAGGAGGTTGATACCCCCAAGTGAAGCCTCCTTCATCGTCGCCGCTCCATGCATCCCACAAGCCAACAGATTCAACTAGCTCGGAGTCGTTGAGCGAAACAGCGTTAAAGTCACCTCCAACGACTCCTCCAAACAGCCCATCCTGCATCAAAGCATCAGCGACGAGCTTGAGTTGTTTCTCCCTGATAGGGGCGCCGTCGGGTAATGGGTCAAGGTGGGTGTTAGCAATTCGCAAGGTGACAACAGACTCGGATGATGCGGGAGCCTGGGCTGTGTCCAGGAGACCGCTGAGCTTGACGTCTACGAAAATAGCGTGGTGCTGCGATTCAGAGCAGCTGAAATGAACGGAAGTTGACTTTGTGATGCGGAGAGAACGAGAGAGGAGGGTGACTGTGCCATACTTTGCGAGCTTAGGCCAGGCGTCTGTGGTTGAAGGAATGACGACGAAGAAATTCTGGACCCACTTGTTATTGAGAATAGTATTGAATGCAGTGGTTAGGACGCCTTGGAGGAGGATCGAGCATGGTTCAGGACGTCTGCGGTTTGTCCTGCACTTGAAGACCTGGTGCTGGATATAGGAAAGAGCAGCGTCTAGGCGAAGGTCTGGTTCTGGCCTCATACAATCAACGTTCCATGATACAACACGGATGAAGCTGGGCATGTGTTCTCCGGCTCTATCTTGACTCGGACCTGGAAGCCATTGTTTCGATTCAGCGGTGTAATGCACTGGTTGAATGTCTCGATGAGCGTCAGCCATGGCCCTCCTTCGACGCCTGGCATATGCAGATGAATATGTAGGCTATACTTGTCGGTCAAGCGTCAATGGCACAGCCAATCATAATACTACGAATAAGCCGATCAACAACCGTAGACTAAGTACAACAAATATAGATGATCAAGCAAGTTTATTGAAAGCACATTCAGACTTGGCGCTTATTCTCACGAGGCTTGCAACAACACTTATTTCCGTTCATTACGTCGGGTATATCGTCGCGGCCTTCACCAGAAAGGAATCAATTTCAAGTCCTTGTTTGGAAGTCCAGAAAGATAAGACATTATACAGCAAGGGGAACACATGCAAGAACACATCACGGACAGTACCTCCACAAGCCCAGCGTTAACCGATACGCCAAAGCTTTCTCCTTTTCACCAACAAGTTGGCATTGAACTCTTCCTCGAGAGCGAGAAATTCATTCGTCATGAAATGGAACACTCGACTCAAGATCGAGTGACTACATCCAGCATAAATATCAACCACAACTAAATGATGAATGATACTGACATAAAATATACCCACAGGTTTTTTGTTAAAACGTGGAAGGCAATCATACGACCGTATAGTAGTGAAATATTCAGCCTGAGAATCGATCGAGCCTAAAGGTCCTTGACTTGGTCCTCAAGCCAGTTCCACAGCTCTGAAGCCTGCTGCGGGTCCTGCGTGTGTGTTCCCAATGCGCGCCCATGGAACAAGATACTATCCAGGATATAAGTTCGAGTTCATTCACGAGAGAAGAGGCTAACCTTTCCGTTAAGATTCGCTCCTTCTGCAGTGGTTCCAGCATATAACTGCGTGAGCGCGCCAAGTGATACATCATGGAAGATCATGCTCTGCAAATATCGAACAATTAGCATCTGGAAGGTTGAATGATACGTGATAACACACGGATATCATTTTGGAAAAGGAGCCATGATAACGGCCAAGCTCCGTCTTGATACCACCAGGGGTTGAGACTATACCTCGGTTGCCATATCGTTTAGCTACCTCAGCTGCAAATAAAATGTTGCCCTTTGCACACAGGAGTTTAGCAAAGGAGTTGATACAATGGAGACGAAACTTACCATTTTGCTTTGGCCATAAAGATTCTTGACGCTCTTCTGTTTCCTGGCGGGAGAGTCCTTGAACGTGTTGTAGTCTAGACTACCGAACCAGTGGGCGTTAGAAGCTGTGTTCACGATGCGTGCAGTTCCATCAGGAGACTGCGTGGCACCCGCTAGAAGTGCAGGCATCACAATTTTCGTGAAGTAGAAGTGACCAAGGACATTTGTGCCAAATTGCAGGTCGTAACCGTCGTCCGTCAACATCTCTATAGGAGGAGCCATTATCCCACTGAGCGACATGTGGGTGGACGATGAGATGACAAGTCAGGCAACACTCGCGCGTTGTTGAATAGAACGTGCAGTACGGGTTCTCTCCTAAAGTGAAGTGTCAGTCGTCTCGCTGCTCAACGAATGCAATGCAAGCGTACTGCAGAAACTCTTCTCCAGAAGCCTTAATGGACTTCAAGTTTGCCAAGTTGAGTTGCAAGAAACACGCTTCTTTTCCGGTGCTCTCTTTTAGGTCGCGAATGGCGTTTTCACCCTTGGCCTTGTCGCGACAAGCAACGTGAACCTTGGCATTTTTTGTGAGAAGGACCTAACCACGAAAAGCGTCAGCATGAGGCAAATACGGTGATGGGAGACAGACTCTGGCGGTCTCTTTGCCTATCCCTGAATTAGCACCGGTGACGAGAACAACCTTTCCAGACATGTCTGGGACATCAGATGCGTGAAACTTTGTTGACGGAGGATAAGTCTCGCGAATGTACGCTGACCAGATGTGACCCATAATGTGCACGTGGTGGCTTTGGGGGTGAAGCTTATCGTTCGATGGATACTCGCTCCATGGCTTGCCAGAGCGCTCATAAATGATTAATGATTCATAGTTTATCTATAGATACGCTCCTCAGTAAATTTACTCTCACGATCATATGCGGACTTGATCTCTCATTCTATCAAGTACCACTACTAGGTCGCTTCTTCCGCGCGGGCATGCTGCATTTGACTTCTGCACTTGGAAAGATCAATTCCGTCGCATACTATATCAATCTCACAATCCAGACAATATCGTACTCCAGCCGTTGATCGGACTCGCAATCTGCAAAACCACAGTCATTTGCAGGCTTAGCATCGGAGACAAGGGTAGCAAGAGAAAATAATCTCCATGCAAGCAGCTTGGCCCGTGCGGGAGCTGTATCATACCCCTTCCTCGCACGGCACGTGTGTTCCTCAGTTCCGTCGCAGAACCAAATTCTACTCCAGCATTTGCAATTCCCTTCTCCAAGTCATATGCGGACCGTCGTTCAGCTCACACAAAATATAAAGAGAGGATAATGGTCTGGCAGTGGATGGCTGCCAGTGTGCCGGAAGCGTGATGTACCCCACTCTAACGACAGAAAGCTCTTGTCTATTTCCCTCCACCGGCCAATCAATGCTGTCGAACTGAAGCCATGCGCCTATACTGAAGGTAGCACTACTAGAGAGCGAGGGAATGAACCAAGTCTGCTGAGTGCAGAGCAAAGTCTCCATTGTTCCTGTCATCTCGACAAATTTGCAGGACGCTGTGGTGTTTATCTATCTGCTGTATGCTGCATGGCCGGACCATGGGCACAGGCGGTGACAGCCTGTTGCACGGACTGGGCAGCTGAGCCGCAGCTCGCAGGCGAATAGGAGCGCACAAGTGAACTTCTATGAGACTACGACCGTCTGCCATGCCTATGTATATCATAGAACATCGATGATACTGCTGGTTCGTTCCACTGCGTCTTTAGGCCTTAGGGACCACAGTCCCTAAATATTGACCTCCTAGACCTTCGAGTCGCACCATTCTCCTAGATTCCAATACGTTCGCAGTTTTCAACTATGGGTAAACGTCGTGCCATCGTTCTTTAATCAACTTAAATGAAACGGAACTGAGTCATTCGACGATTCACGAGCCCAATCATCATTGATAACTCTTTGCAGGTCGCCGTCGAAGCACCATATCGGTCATATCGGTTATCATCGTGTGCTCATGACGAAAGTACGTCTCCTCTCGTCATCGAGATATGAATGTGACATTCATTTATACTTTAGCCCCTCACGGACATGTCCTCGGGAGAAGCAAGCTCTTGCACTATTGGAGTAAGTAAGTCAGTTCTTGGACGTTGTTCGGTTACGGTTACAGGCAGTCACATGGGATGGGACCCTAGACGATGGAGACCAAATGGTTGGTTACAAAGTCTGTGTCTTTCTGGAAATTAGAGGTCCTTCTTTTCACTGTGGTATAGAAGATAGACTTGCCAACTTGATATTGACGATTTGATCGAGTTCATGTGCCTGGTGCAGACGATTATCACCCCGTGTCGTCGTCACGATTAGGTCGGTCACGTATGTTTTGAGAAACGTTGTGGTTTTCGAGGCTATGCTCAGAGCACGTGCACTTATGAAGCGATGCGCCTTCCCAACCAAAGCAAGCCGGTTTCCCCATGTATTTTTGTTCGAATCAGAGAAGGTTTATAATAATTCGTGGGTTGGCGTCTATTGTAACTTTTTGAGATCGACCTGTATTCCAGGGAGTGTACTTTGTCGGTTTATGGCACTATCTATGAGCTCAGGCTCAAGTAGTCCTCAATGGGATAACCGTCATCGTGGCTTTATTTCTCCCGCCGAACTACAACAGCTCAGACAAGCTAGTCCAGGCAGAGGAACCGATCTACACGAGTTTCACGCACGACAACCTGCAACAACTCCTCCAGGCGACAACAACAACCCTAACGCTGGAACAGTAACATTAACAACTCAACAGGAGGACCAGTCGGTCTCGAGACCTGCTCAACAACAATCAGTCGCTAATACAATGTCACACCTTCGCACTTCGTCTTTCTTTTCTTTTCGCAAACAGTTGCAGCATTCAAGTGACGCGAATACAGACCACCAGCAGCAATCTAACCGACGCCCAAGCACCGGCGCGCAAGACCGCGACTTCGCACCACAAAACAATCAACAGCGCGCTCAAACAATGGGTCCAATGCGCTCCTCGCCAGAGAAGCAGGATGACCAAGAGTCTGACACGGCTTTAGCAGCCCGCAGAGATTCTTCAGCTGTTCCCCCTCTTCATCCTGAAATACGCTCCATTGTTCAGCTCACGGTCGCGCATGCCCGAAAAGTCTACTTCAGCGGCCCACTAGTAAAACGCGTACAGCGCCAGCCGGATGGCCAACGTCCCAAAGATGATGGATGGTTCGACATCTGGGCACAACTTAGCGGCACAACGTTGAGCATATGGGACATGAAGGAGATCGAAGAAGCAAGCAAGAAGGGCCTTGAGGTGCCTCCTACGTATGTAAATATCACAGACGCCGTGAGTGCATTCCACTGTCCTTGCTATGCTAGTGGTGATGACGCTGGCTGTAGTTTGTTCATGTACTAGGTTCAGTGACTGGCCCCGCCGAGGGTCAAGATCAACCGCGGAAGACATATATGAACGTCTTCACTCTCAACACGGCAGGCTCTAATTTGCTTTTATTCAGCTGTCCGTCAGCATCGGCATTGGAATCATGGGCAACAGCTCTACGATTATCTGCTTGGGAAAAGTCTCGTCTCGAAGAAATGTATACTGCTCATTTGATACGCATAACATTGCTTGAAGGTCAGTTGTCTCACTACTAGGAGTATGTTCGACACTGACGTCATATTTCTCAGGCAAAGATACCCGTACAACACTCGTCCGTGGCCGCATGGAAGGGTGGGTGCTCATACGTGTTGCTGGGCAAACAGACTGGAAACGCATGTGGATGGTCATATCTGGGTCGCAAACTTTGTACACCGAACCTGGAGCCCCGTCTACTACCGCTGGCACCACACCTACCAAGAAACGCATGTCGAATCTCTTCTCGCGCGATCACTCCCCTGAACCTCTACCAATGAAGCCTTTGCTTGCACTTTATGCATCTCCTAGGCCAAGGGACAAGAAGCACCCCCTTCTTACACTCAGGGAGGTTTCACAGGCGTTTGCAGTGTACCCAGAGCGCCCAGAGTTGATCAACCGCAGCACGCTCATGAAACTCGAGGGTCTAATTGGTGACGAGGAAACGGCGGGCACGATGAAACGAAGGGAGGGGTGGTTGCTTATTATGCCTGAGCTTGAGGCAGGGAATACACAAGCATCCGAGATGCTCAAGTGGCTTGTTGGTGAGTAGACTGTTTCAGTCGCGCAGACCATGATGACTCACCATTTATTCAGCGCTTCATGACGCCTTTGAGCTATACGGACGTCCGAAAGTGTACACCTGGGACCCTCGTGATCCAGTTTCGTTGATGTTTGCTTATCCAGTCAATCCTGGGAGAGACGTAAGTGCAAGTTATTTCTCAGCACAAAGTCTACTGATTTATTGGATGATAGCTCTTGTTCCTTGATCGTGAAGTTGCAGAGTCTATGGACCCACGTGACGACCGTACCTCTGCTATTCGCAATCGTCTTTTAAATATCCTCCACTCACGTATGCCTGGACTGCGTGCCGTATCTGCGCCGCCCCCCCTGCCACCCATTGGTCTAGGTGTTGATCCTAATCGCCTACAACAGCAACAGCAGTCACAAGATGTTACTCAGCCCCGATCACAAACTCAGAATAGTCAACCTGTTGACGCCCCCCAGCTCCCCACGATCAATTTCGACTTGCGCTCGCCACCAGACCTCACTGTTGGTCACGCTCTCTCCCCCATCACGGAACGGAGCGCAACGCGTGAAACGCTTCCGGATTTCCCTCGTACGCAAAGCCGTTCGATGTCGAATGAGCACAACGAGCCTGAGTCGATGATGATAAGCAGCTCGTCGATGTCAAGTGGGAAGCCAGATTCGGTGGGACGGTCGATGAGCAACGGGCATCAGGACTTTATGTCACGTTCCATGTCCGAGCACAGCCAGTCGCAGATGCTTACTTCGTTGAACCCTGTCTTAGAGAACATACCTGGGTCAATCACAGGTCTCCCACCGACTGGAAGCCCTCCTCCTACCTTGCGTTCCGACTCAAAGTTTACATCGAGCTTGGAGACTGCACAAACGAGGAGCACAGAGCCATCAACAGTTGCGAGTGTAGATGTTGGCGGGTTCAAACTTCCTCTTACGCCTGAGTCTCCTGGGTCACCTACATTTTCTACGAGCTCGACAAGTCCTAGTTCAGGAAATGGTAGACCTACTTCGCCAGGAATGTTGTTGTCCTCCCTTGTTGCACCTGTGCCCATCAGATCACCAGCTTCGAGAACTCCCCCTCCTGGCTCGCCCCTTTCATGTCTCACATCGCCTTACTCTCCCAAAGGGAAGGATAAAGAGTTACCTTCTATTCAAGATGTACAAGATGTTCTACAGCTACCGCCTCGAGCACTGTCTCCGCCTCACCCATTTATAACGCAGCATAATACAGGCTCACCGCCCTTGCCTCCCAAAGCCAAGTTATCAAACTCAACATCGCGGGCGCCTGTTTCTGTAGCAACAGTTCCTGTTGCCCCCGCACAGCCCCTAGTACAAGACAGTCAGAGTATCTTTTCAGACGCTCTGTTCTTCATGCAACAACTCGACGAAAAGCCCCAAAACCCGCCGCGACGCGTCCCAACCACCATTTCTGAAGCCTCAAATTCCGAAGAGAGCTCAGTATCTGACAACCCATTGCAGCGTCGGGAAACGCCGATGTCATTTTCAGAGCTGGGAAGGACGGAAGCTAATATTAGCGAACACAGCATGATTGGCTCGCGCCCTTCTCTCGGCCGTAAGCCGTCCGGTGCACGTGTACAACCTATTTCTAGCCGAGGCCC